TGGGTTTAAGAGAAAACTGTTAATGATTAACCGGACTTGGACACCAGCGACATGGTTAATGGTGACTCGGAAGAATTGCTGTGTGTGACACACGTGCTGTTGCATTTTACAGAGTGACGGTGCTGTTCTTCACAATAATACAGATTAGCCACAATAAATGTGTTTGCCCTCGATTAGGAGCACGTGCCCACGTCCTTCATTTCGAGTGTGCAACACAACACGTCTGTCCGGTGTGTAAAGAGTGGGTCGATTTCACTCCATCGAGGCTCTCTGATGCTCCACATAGCAAAGGCCCTTTTGCAGCAGCAGCAGCGTGAGCCACCAAATGCATGGCACCAGCCATACAACTTGGCAGGGTTTCCAAGAGATGTACGCACCACAATGCACAATACGGGTTCAGAATCAGAATACAGGTAGTCCCGGACTTACGATGGAGATGCGTTACGACGACCCCATCGTAAGTCGAAAATATCGTAAGTCGAAAATGGCCTAGCCTACAGTACCGTACTGTATAAACTATATACTGTACGTATTTATTAATTACAATACTGTTTTGCACAGTAAAATTTAAAGTAAAAAACAACGTCAATTCTTAGCCTACCTATATGAACTGCAATTATATAGAAAGTTTTTTCAGAAAACAATCCTATCTGCTATCAAAACTTTTAACATGCATTGAACATCGAGACAACTTAACTCCGTCGACCGCTGGTGAGAGTGAGACATCACCACACAAGGCGGGAGATGCGTGCAGTACATCCCGGCAGCGTCCCAACGTACAGTATCGTACCTCGTACGCTGCTGCGTTTGCCTGCCGTGCGAAATGTAAAATATTTAACAATTTTGTCATATCGCTATCGCCATCGTAAGATCGAAATATCGTAAGTTGGGGACTACCTGTATGTATTTAGACTGCAGGAGGAATCCGATGAGCTATAAAGTTATTTTTCACAGATGTCCAGTAGGGGCGGGTGAGAACGATACAACAACAAACAATACAAAAACACGATGGGAGTGCACAGTATAGGAAAGGTAAATAAATCACTTAAACAAAAATATACAAATAAACTAAACTATTTTTATTTCAGAGTAATGTCACACTGAGCTATATCACTTATTTTTTTAAACAACCTGGCCACGAATGATAGCTCAACAAAGTGGCCTATCACGTGGATATTTATAGCCGCATAAATAATTTAAATAATAAAAATTGTATCCAAATGTATATTATTTAGATTCTTTTGTTCATGTCATGGACTCCCTGCGAAAAGCAGGTGCGCATTCCACGTATTTTGTGAAACATCAGCATGGAGAATTTGGTAACATTGACAATGGACTTTTACTAATACTAGATGCAATTCTACCAAGCATTTGGTGTTTTATTAAATGCCGGTTGTTGTATTAAGCTTAAGAAATTGTTCACGGTTGATCATAATGATGAGAATTTGATCCTTTTAAGGACAGGATTATTTTTTTACTATGAATTGAGGTGAGTATGTAGTGAGATGCGTGTGTTTAGACTGTTGAACACCAATTCGATTCATGGACCATCAATATTTCATATTCATATCGTGCCTTCCATGACAATAGATCTCGTGGTGCCAGGACGCGGAGATACCGTGAGGGAATGGCTTGGCAAAGGGAATATATTATGGAGGAAATTGCGATATTCAAAAACAATTCTGCAAAGACGATATACACAGCAATGTCAGGGCTGTTATTGCGTGTAATGCTGACATGTAAAGCTGTGAAGCTGCGTTGTACGCTAGGATCAGAAGAGTGGGAATGAACATCTCACGTCCTGACATGACGATTGGGAGGTACAGAATGATTTGCCACGATCGAGACGCTCACAATGAAAACAACCCATTCCGGTGAGTCTCCCTTTACACGACGCACAATATCTGCATGCAAGGCAATAATCATTCGGGCATTTATAAAAAAAAAACTAAAATTATTACCGCCAGTGTGACTATATAGACAGGTACATAACTGTAGTTTCTGTCAGAGCTTTTTGGTCAAAAGTGGGGTGGGGACGAGTTGAAATCTGTGCGTTCCCGTCGGGCAAATTCCAGATCTCACACGGACACACGTTGAACACATTTTTGCAGCAACAGTCTGGGAGTGGCTTGAATACATCTAAAGCAGTTTTATCAGTGCCAGAGTGTGCACTTTGCTAAACAGGAACGTGTGGGTATGTATGTGGAACTTCTTTTCGCACCGTACGTAGCCAACCGTGTTAATCGCCGGTGTGCACACGAACATGCAGCCTGTTTGGCAATCCACCACTGGATGAAAGGAAAATGGTATCCCTTAAAGTTCATCATCTCCAGTGGAACCGAAGTCTACTGTGGCCCATGTGCCATGTGCTGGGATGCAGAAACTATTTGTGCCACTGATGACATGGCCACCTCTTCACGTATGTACATGTAAAGTCCTATGTCAATCCGCTGCATCGATGAGGGGTTATCCATGAGCATGTGGACCGGGAGAGCTATTTTACTGTGTCTGGTAAAGGCAAGAAGCATAGATGTTGGAGCCATATTACGGTACAACAACCCACGCGTCCGCTGAACGTCCGGCAAATATCACGATAACAAATATTATTTGGGTCTTTCGGTAGTCAAGTACAAATTAATAAAAATAATAAATATTAAATAAACAAAAAACTTCGACGTTTCGATCACAACACAAGCGATCGTGATCAGGAGGAAAGAGGGGGAAAGCTGCTGAATGCAGACTGTTTTATTGGTTTGTAATGAGTGTAGTCCTACAGTCATGATAACAATATATACCGCAAACAGTGAAGGTGCTCGTCATTGCATAGGATTACATTTTAAACGTTTCACGTCCGCAAGGCCGATTCAAATTGGAAGACGCTCTCTCAAAAGCAGGGCCGTTTCAACAGAGTAACTTTTTGCCACTTCCATTTCTCATACGTGGCCTTGAAATACATTGCTTGGTGCTGACCTCATAATGCCTGGGCAGGCGGGGGTGTGGTGGGTGGGGTGGGGGGGGTGGTCCAGATGAGGTGGCAGCCCTGGGCACCCCTCCTGGGGGGTGGCGTTGCATAAATGATTTGGTGAATCGATGGAGGCAAGCAGCGACGACTGGTGGCTCATGTTTTTGATGGGGGTGGTGCCCTCGCTGCTGTAGCAGTTGTGGTGGGGGGTGGGACGCAAGGATGGCACCATGCTTTGCTCTCGCACTGTCTTGCCTCACGGCAGATGTGGAGCGTATGTATACAGGAAGTTCCTGTTTTTGTTGCTAATTTTGGTCACGTGACCAGGAAGTGACGATGTTAGATTTTCAGTGAACCACGCGGGCATCTGCCATCTTACTGATAATTCAAGATGGCGGCACGCATCGCATCTTAGTGAGATCACAGCCGCACTTGTCCATTGTGGGAGCTTAAGAAGCATTGTCTGTAAGTTTGTTTATATTCCTATAATATTGGCAATGCTGTTGTAATGTTGGAATTACCGTTATAGTGATGTAAATGCCTTTATGGTGCCGTTAAGTTGTTGTAGTAAATACGAGGCCTAGTTAGTAACGAAGCCTGCGACTTTCCTTATTGTGGATGTTACTTGTGATTTAGTAGGTCGGGTCAGACTTGTGCCCAGGTGGCTATGTTGCGATCCTGAGAGTAAAGATGACGAAGTATCTCATCCACAGTTTAGTGGTATGTGTAATGCTGTACATTTGGGGTGCACTGGGATGAATACACGATGTGCCTGTATGCAACGCACCGGCTTGTGCTCTTGTCTAGCTGTTCAGTGGTAATGTAGGGGCCTGGTCCGTCCAGGATCTATTGTTATCTAAGACAATGTTATGATGCTGTGGTGTTCATTGTGTTGGTGTTTCCGGATTATAACAGATGCTGTATCTGTGTTTTCTCACCAGTTTTACCTTGTTACAATCAATAAATGACGATTGGAGTTGGACGTTCATCCTGGCTCCGAGGGTTTATTGAACGCAAGGTTATCTACTCGACTAGCGGTGCAACGCAGCACACAGCGAGGCCGAGATACGCACCATGCGCCAAAAAAACGTCTGGCTGCTCCCCTGATGTCGATATCTACCCCTGCACACAGAAGCTGGCAAATCACTAAGACGGCCTTTACCATGTGGAAGGACGGCATCAACACCCTGGAGTACAAGCTCGTTAAGGCGGAGCGATGGCCCCTGTACACCAAGGTGATCATGGAGGTGGGCAAGCGGTCACCGGGCAATCAAGCGTGGGGGCACCGCAACAAGCGACAATGCCACTGAGCGTCCAAGCCATTCTATGTCGGAGGGCACAGCTTCCTCCTTCGGCAGACAGAGGGTGGCAGTGTGGGTGGTCCTTTAATTGACGACCGACTGTTCTGTAATTCACGGTGTTCTGCCTCACGGCAGGTGTGTTGCTCCATGCGGGAGTGGGGGTGTGTGTATACAGGAATCTGCTGTTTTGAGGTTGAGGTTGGTCACGTGACCAGGAAGTTCCGATTTGACAGCCCTTCAGCCACGAGGCCGGTGGATCCGCCATTACACAGAGTTCAAGATGGCGGCACACATCGCGTCTCAGTGAAGCCAGCTGTAATTGGATATTGACTTTAAGAAGCATTGTCTGTAAGCTCGTTTATGTTCTTATAATACTGGGGATGCTGTTATAATGTTAGAATGGCCGTTATAATGCTGTAAATGCCTTTATAATGCTGTTAAATTGTTATGATAAATGCGAGGCCTAGTTAACAACGAAGCCTGCAACACAAATGTTCTTGCTGTGAATTTCACACCTGATGATGATTGCTTGTGTTGCAGTCGAAACGTCGTGAGAATTTTTGTTGTTTTATATTTATATTATTTTATTATTTCCCTTCTACGTGACTTTACCGAAAGAACCAATAATATTATTTCACTTTGTTTACATGATTTTTAAATGACAGTAACAATAACATAGAAATCATCAGTTGATGTCCGTATCATTTTGGGGGGAAAACAACATATTAACTGGAAAAAAGCTTTTCAAAGGATTTTATTCTTCGACGGTTCAGTTGCTCACATCTTGTTAATGACAACGCTGTACTAGACAAGCAATACATTTGCACGTGTAAACTTATGCAAATGCCAGGTTTACATGAATAATGTGTATAGATTGATAAGCAGATAAAGCAATGTAAAAGATTTTCACAATAAGGTGACCAGGTATCCTTGCAATTTATTGACAGGTTTTACAATTGAACATGCACTATGTCAAAGTAAAAAAAAAGGAATAAATAAGATAAAAGAATATTAAAACCATATGCTGCTCTATTGATTAACTACGTACGCACGATCTGCTGTGCCACATCACAGCAAAACCTATACGTGTGTTCTTGCAATACATTCTGTGTAACCTTAGACACATGTAAAAATAAACATTAAACGGTTAACAGTTAACGTTTTTGCCCACAAACATTTCTGGGCACAACTTTTTCCGTAACTTCTGGCCAGTGTGGTATTGATCAAAGAGCCAATTTTTTGCATTATTTTTGTATCACCATATGTAGGGCTTAATCCTTTTGTTTTTACTTGTTGAATACCAAACTAAAAACAAACGTTGTGTTATTAGCTGTGCTTTTGGGTTGTACAACGTGTTGCTCGGCATTATGTCGGACGATTCGCTGCACTGAATTTAATGCAATACGTGTAGAAGCTCCTGGAACGTGGAGTGAAACGTCGGACCACATACCAAAGAACACGCGGTAACAACCCAGAATACTTTAGAGAGCTACCCTGCCCAGCCGCGACCTGCGCCAGAGTTCATATCTAAAATTGCCCTTCTGTTCAACCAATGGCGTTCATTTTTAGAAAGTAAATTATACTAATTTAACTGTCACTTCAAGACCAAAAAAATAAAAAAAATAATTATCTGAGCTCTGCATCAGAGCTGCGTTTAGAGTTTATGTTGCAGGCATTCTATTATAGTTAAGTTTGTCGGCAATTTGAAAACAAAAAGTTAAGTATTTATGCAAAGCATACTTTACCGTGACACAATCATTACAAAATGTGCCGTTTAATTAGGGCTGCGATCGCGTAAAGTACAAAGAGTCGTCTTAAACTCACGCTTTCACGGGTGAAAACGATTGCGTGTGTGTAAAAGCACAGAAAATAAACTTTCTGCGGATTCCCGAAGGTATGCCAAGTGGCTCATACGTTTTTGGGGATCCTTGTCTGATGCCAAGCAACGCTTCAAGGGGCACGTGAAACGATGATGAAGATGATGACAATAATATAATATTGTCTAATACTGTTAATTCAATCTCTAAAATCGTAATATTACAGCGCTGAGGAATGTGGAGTGTGCCCGGGTATTCATCTTAAAGCCTACCATGGCATTTCTTTTTCAAGAGTTTAGTTTCACGTAATTACATTTTGCCCATTAGTGGTAACACAGGAGCACGTCGTCATCATTGTCATCATAGTCGTAATGTTCTATACAAAATAATATTGCGCTTGTGGAACGAATTGCCTCGAACTCCCTGAACATTCTAAAAGTCATCGTTGACATTTGAGAAACTCAAAAGTCATTTAGTGTCGGGCCTTGAACCAATAACTCATTTCGAAAACTGAATCTTGCTGGCTACTTGTTCGACTACAAGATGGTCAGGTGATATAATTAATACAGGTAGGAACAACAGTTCCACACTGCCCACCAGGGATTCATTGTCTGTCGTGCATAGCCACGCCCTCGATTTGTATTTCATAGAGCGCTTCGGGCGGGCTCAGCACCACGTGACGTGCCGCCCCACGCAGCTTGTGCCGCGTGACACGGATCGCACGAATGCGTTGTCCAACCAAGTTCCTATTTCCTATTTGCCCACTCCGAAGGAACGTGTTGCAAATAGATTATTAAATCCATCTGTGCAGAGCTTTTGAGTGTTACCCCCTCATGTGTGGGAGTTTTCTCCTGGTACTCTGATTTCCTCGCACATGCCTCTCAATAATGGAATTCCCAAACTTCCCAAAAAGGGATTTCAGAATTTATTTGCAATAGGCAGATTTGGTCAATGCCACAGTTAAATGAAATTGTGGCATTGCTGCTGTCCCTGAAATGTAGTGTACCATGCGAAGAAAGGGTGCGCGTTTATGCACATTTGTAAAGTGTGGTTGACACAAACATATCGCAACCTAGTTTTAACACATATGATGAAAATTGTCCGTGCTCTGGAGTAAATCACTTGTGCGCAGGGCTTACTGAATAGTTTTGCCTAGAGTAGGCACGCGACTAATAGCCACAACCGCAGCGGGAGGTATAGCACTGAAATGAAGCCCTGCCAGTAAGCATTTACCAGGTGGCTGTAAGTTTTTATACATATTTAATTTTGGCGTGAACATTCCACACCTAAGATGTGTGCTGTGTGATTTTAACAGGCTCCCTGGCAGGCTGGTGTGCTCACTAATTGCCCGCTGGGCAAGTCGACCTGGTCAGCGTTTGTCTTACTGCTCATCACCCATCACAGGTCGTCGTCAACGTTAGTAACACTCCTCTAAAATTTATATCGACATTGTTGCACTGTCACAATAATGCCATCGTCACGGACAACAACAACAACATAGACCATATCTTAAATTTTTAAAATACCGACAAGTTCTTTGTGATTTTTTTCCGCTGATGATGGAGAGACGTGGGCACCCATACCCATGAGGTAGGTGGTGCAGTATTTTGCACGGCTCAAAGTCGCATGAATGGATACAAAATGTCAATTGAACGTTCTCCCTTTTTTCCCCACCCCATCACATACGTGTATTACTGAGTAGCGAAACTTTGGGGCTAATGATATGAAGTGATAGGCAACTAAGCCATTAAAATAATCATATGTTGAACTTTCGCACCATATGTAGCCAACTGTGCTGATCGGATGTGCGGAACAATGCGTCACAAGGTGGTCGGGTGGTGGGACAGGAGTTATGTTTAGGAAACAGTGGCATGTGTGGCTCCAATTGGTGGGTTAATACGGTTGCTGGAAAATGCCACCTTTGCTTTTCCAGCATCAGTTGATTACGGGCCAAGTGCTTTCCTAGAACATTTGGAATGCGGAGGCAATAGCTTCATCAGAGCTTCTTCCAGGAGGTAGGAACGAAGTTCACTCAGCTTTTCTGCAATGAGCATCCAACTCACAATCCATCTCACAATCAAGGGGATGAGTTCACACCCGAGTCTGGGATCAATTTAGCCCCTCACCTCTGCAAGCACAATAAAACGAGGATCCCATTATAGAAAGCGGTTGCCTTAAAGAGGACTGGCTCCCCACCATGGGGAATGGGGAGTGTTCACCGCTGACTCAACGGAGGTGAGCACCGCAGCGGAAGCCTCAACAGTCTGTCACGAGTTTGTACATTACCACAAAGTTCCCGATTATAAATTCATCACTTGCCACCTGAAACTGGGAAGGCGAAAAAAAACTCCCAAGGTAGAGGTTTTTTTTTGCGGTAGAAGTGGGGCGACTTTTGGCCGAGATTACGAAGTCAACGTTAGACAACCCCGTGTCCTTGACCACCCCACTCGGTCGACACACGGGGCACAACTCTTCTTCGTGGAGCAGGAGTGGTCGGGGTCCGTTTAGGCTATTGGCAAGACTAAGCTTCGCCACGGTTTGCTTACCAGGACGTCTGCCCCCCCGACCGGGCTGAAGGTAACGTGGGACACGCAAAAAAACACAAAGATCCCCTCATATAGCATTAACAGACTGTTGTGGCAAGTGCTGTTAGTCAGCATTTATGAAGGCTGGCACTCTGGCACGCGAGGGGGTGGGCAGCACCATGCCCGGACGCCAACTCTGTCCCCCCGCAGTGGTGATATTTACACACCTCATCAGATACTCATTTGAGGATAAGTCGACCTCGGGGAGACCCAGGACCGGTTCAAATAATCGTCAATGGTGTTGGCCGTGAGCGGGAATCGAACTCAGGCCGCCGGATTCGTGGTGCAGTGCGCTAACTACTACACTACATGGGATACAGATGCATACACACACATACACAAAGATGCACGCGCACACAAAGATGCACACACGCACACCAACACTGGGCGACATAAGTAATGAATACGACGAAATAGCGACGTCTTCCACAGTCGTTCTACTTATATGATTCGGATTGCCATCTCTGAGGGACAAACCACTTAAACATATCGTGAGAATAATATGTTGTATAAGCTGAAAATGGGAGAACCACGTGTTAATGCATCATCTCGTGTGGTGGCAATCTTACATAACTGACAAAAAAACTAGACTTTTAACTTTCCCCAGGGGGAACAGTTTACTGGATTTCCAGCACAGCCGCGATTATGGGAGAAAACCAGGACAAGGTGGGAACGCTATAGCAACAATAATAATAATATAACCCAGACGTCGGTGTTGACGTCGTAGGGTCGCTTATGTCTGCAGCCGCACCAGTCGGCCAAATGGTTGCAACGCCGTGCGATGTAGGGAAAGGCGCCACCGTACGAACGCAACCCCTCGTGGCACTCTTCAGAGGACTCCCTGCTGCTGCTGCCGTCCCGTCTCCACCGCCGTCGCCGCCTCGGCCGCTTCCTCCTCCCCCTGCTGGCCGGACGCGCACCTGCGGAGGCGTTCGCAGCGCGCCACGCGGTTGCCCTCCCAGTAGCCGGCCTCGAGGCCATCGTGGCAACGGCAGCGCGTGCACTCGTCCAGCCACACGTGGCTCCCGCCGGGGATCACGCGCCGCCCGCCGGCGTCCGCATAGCAGTTGGGACCTGGCGGGGCAGGGCGGGGAGTAGGTGCCACAGTGAAAGGTCAAGAGGTCAAGAGGTCATCGTGACCCAGGGGATGAGCGGTCATTGTAGAGGTATCGCAAGGTCTGAGCTCAGCGACCGCCTTGGTTGATGCTGCAAGCATGTGGGCGCCATGGTGGCGATATGTTAACTACCCTCACCTAGTATACAGGAGGTCGTGGGTTAGATCCTGATGCCTGTTGTATATCTGGAGTATATATGTCACTCCCCGTGGTTGGGTGGATTTTTTTCGGGTCCTCCAGTTTTTTCCTCCATATTTAGAATCAACATGGATTCAGATTATTGAGCTGCTATACGTGACCACGTGATACGCCATTTAATTGAGCTATAATTTGTGGCCAGGTCGCTTTCGGAAGAAAAAAAAACGGTATAGCTCAGTGGGCCTTACCTGGTAAAATAAAAATTACATATATGTTAATTATCATTATTACGATTGTTTACCTAGGAAAACATCACTGAGTCTCATGACTTTTTTTAGGAGAGACCTGCCGAGTTCAATGCAATGTACGCGCCGTCTGCTTCACGGTTGACGTTAAATATCCCGCGGCATTTTTCGAAAAAGACGAGGAGTTCCAACGGATGCCTGTGTCGCAGTCCAAATTCGATCTACACATCGGACGGAGCGACAAGTTATTTCATTGGCGGGGGGGGGGGGGGGGGAATCTCGCAACAACAACGCACCCTGCTGGCAGACTCACGTGCAGATGAAGACAGCTGCCACTGAGGGGCAATCCCCTTTATCTAGACTTCAGCGGGGCAATGGAACAGTTGAGATGAGATGTGATTAAAAAAAGCACTTTGACTCACGGAGGAATTTAAGTGCTCTACATAATGCACATCCTTATCCTTCATCCGGTTCATGCCATCGCATCTGGCTTTCGCTTTTTTTCCGCTAGAGCCCTTGGCTGTTGCACAGTCGACACGTCTAACTGTCCACACATTTATAATTTACAAGGATAAGAACGCGAATGAGCTAACAGCCTTCACCTGTCTTTATCTCTGCAACTTATTTCACCAAACGCTGTATTACCCCTTACCGGAAACGGTAAGGGGTTTGACAATACAATGGCTGGGGAGATATCACGTTTCGCGGCCGAGGTGAGAGATAAGTGAATGCACTCTGATTATGGGCAGCGGGCAGTTTTATGCAGGATGCTATATCACCTCGGGCGCTGCCAATAACAAGAGTGGGACGTGCATTGAATGTGAAATTATCAATAATTCAGTCCGGTGGCAGGAGGTGTTTCCCACACCAGTGAGGTTCATGTTGTCAGGGACGACCAGCGGGTGCATCGTGGGTTTGCACTAATGAGCGATTAATTTACACATTGTTTCATTTACACGCATTTTTCTTCCTCGATGTCGCCCACGAATAAACTTTATATTATAATTTCATTTCTCTCTCTCTTTTTCTCCCACCATTTAAAGATATATATGTAACTGTTCTTATTTGTCTTCAATATATATATTTTCTCTATTTTTACTAATACTGTGCCACTTTGTGAGGAAGTCAACAGTAGTTTGATATACTGGATCCCTCCATATGAATACGTAGCTTCCACTGCTGGCTCAGGGGCTGTAAACTGGAGATAAGCACCATCTGAATGCTGATTTGAGCCAGAAATTACGTTGACCTGACATCACGTACATGACATGTGGCTTATTTATATACTTGTTCATCAAGCTGCGCATTCTTTACCTTGCTGTCCTGACAACATAACAATGTTGACGTCAGTCCTTCAGTCTACATTCAATGAGTATTCCTGCTGCGTAGGTTTTCGAGTGGGTCCGTGCACTGCTTGTCATCACGTCCGACGTTTCAGCTCCCACGTGCTGGGAGCTTCTTCAGGGACCGAATAGCTCCCAGCACGTGGTGCAAAACTTCGTGCGTCGTGCCGACCAACGTGCGATACACATCGAAGAGCTGTGTAGTTTGTATGAATGCATATATGTTAAACTTCTTTCACACCGTACGTAGCCAACCGTGCTTAATCGGAGGTGCAGGGTGAGAGACAACAACATCGCTTGTCGATGCCAGGTCTATGTGCGTATTGCTCATATGCTGAACAGTCACAAGAGGGCGCAGATGCGTTACTCCAGTAGGACAGGTCTCTTGCTTTGATGTCTCAGTATGTGGCCTCTGGCCTGCCTATACTAAGCACATCCATTCATGAAATCCAATTAGGAACATTTCTCCCCCACTTCATACAATGCCAGACATTCCTTTTAAAATAGATATTGCCTTTCAACCATCTCTCAACTTGAGTGATGTAAATATTAATGGGCACCAAACCAGAGACGAAAACCACACAAAATCACACACACACACGTGCAAAAAATCCATCTATTATTTATAATGTCCATCTCTTTGACTATCCACTGCTGGATGACTTCCTCATGCAAAGTGTGTAAGTCATCGGGGTTGTTTGTATGTATGTAAGTTGAACATCTTCTAACCGGAGGTTTGACATTACTTCACCACGCTGGTTGCTGTGGGTTTCGTGAAAGTGGGCGACCAGGACCAGTTCAGATACCACTCCAGTCGTCGGGGTCATAGCGCAGTGTGCTAACCGCTGAACCACCGCTCCATCCGATTAATAATAAATTGGTCTATAATGCAGTCATGTATTTGAAATTAAGAGCCAACCTATTCACGTATGTCAATATCCGAGCCAATGGAGGAAGCATGCATGTTGTGCTGGAAACAAGGGGAAATGTATCGGAGAAAATGCACATGCACGAGGGGGCAACACTCTATCCCGTATAGAAGAGACAGATGTGACCGTTAGTCCCCAATGCACTCTTAAATATAGACTGAAGACTCATTTATGTAGAGGTGCTTTTTGTGTTTAGTTTGGTGTCCTTCCCCCGCACCTCCGATAAGCACGGTTGGCTACGCACGGCGCAAAAGAAGTTCAACATACGTACATACTCTGCTCTACCTCCCCGCCATCTCCTCGTGAGCCAGGGTGCGTGGCAGATCGCGAACCGTGCCCTCACGCTCACCGTCCTTGCAGGTGGGGCAGCAGTCGCCCTTCTCGTACACGGGGTTGACGCAGGGAGGGGGAGCGCAGTCGGCGACCAGACAGCGCGGGATCCCGTCCAGCTCGCACGTGCACTGCTCGCAGGCGGACGGCTGCTCGCCAAAGGTGGAATGGAAAATAATCCCGTACGGTTATTCAACGAAATGCATGACTCTGAGGTCGAAGCGATCTGCTGCTCAAATTAAAACTATGAACTTAACTGGAAACTTTTTTCTAACCAGGTAAGGTACACAGATATATAGCTCTTTTTCACATGCGATCTGGCCACCAATGATAGCTCAGTGGAGTAGCTTATCGCGTGTAAATTTATAGCAGCCAAATACTCTGAACGTGCGTTTCTAAATGTGGAGGGAAAAACCGGAGGACCCGGATGAAAATCCACACGACTACGGGGAGAACATGCAAACTCAAAACATACAGCAGGCATCGAGGTCGCGATCAAACCCACGACCTGTATACCAGGCGAGGTAATTAACATCTCGCCACCGGGGCATCCCAAATGAGCACTGAGGTGGCGCCCATTTCCTCTTTCTCCATCTCGGAGCCGTAGAAGGAAATTATACGTTCCTGTGGCAGAGGTTAGTTTATCCGTAGGACAACTGCTGTTGACTTCCCCACAAAGTTGTACCTTATTTTTTAGAAACCCCAAGAGAGACCATGAGCCGAGTCATTTCACAACTAGGATTTGAACTGGCATCCTTCTAATTGCGAGCCTGGCCACTTAAAATTATAGAGTGAAATTGGAAAACACAATAATACAGCACAGTTTTATTATTATTGTTATATAACGTACTTTGGATTTTTAAAACATCATAATGCGACCGCATCTCAAGGCGGAAAGGGACGCAATGCTATGTGATGAGCTGAAATAGGGTCAGGGTGTGATGGTAAGGCATAAAAATTGGTCATAATGTGATGGGAAGTGATGGGTTCCACATCGTATGGATGTGTTCGTATGACATGTAGATTAAATGGGTCAAGATCACTTGGGATGGCGATGCCAGATGTTCTTCTTCCCAAAGTGTGTCCCAATGTTTTTGTACCTTGGAGATATGTATGTCTGTTGAACTTCTTTTCTTACATAGCCAACCGTGCTAATCGAGAGGTAGCAACTCTAGATGAGGCTAGTCTATGATGGGATTAAAAAAAATGCTTCTCTTAAGAGTAGGCCTGCCTCCGCTGTGTTCAGACTCGAGCAGTTTCAGCCGCAAGCAGAAATCCACGTGGGGCTTGGTGGAATTTCAGGACATCCAGCTTTTCTCTACCGCTCGTGTAAACGTGTGTATTCGTGTAGCCACTGGAGCGGCAGTGAATTTGGCAGAGAAAATAGATCAGAGACGAATGGAAGCCTCATCAGTGGCTCCCCTCCGGAGACTCCACAACCCGAAGCCGTCAGTGCCCAGCTGCAATGTGAAAAGGTAATTTGAAACGGGACGCGCATATTCCCAACCGTACTTGCGTACGTGCGTGCGTCCATGTCCTGCTCAGCTCACGGCCAACACCAGTGACTATTATCTAAACTGGTCCTGGGGCTCCCCTAGGTCGACTCAGCCTCATATGAGTACCTGATGTGGTGTGTGAACATCAGCACTGGGGAGATAAAGGCGGCCGGGCTTGGTGCTAGCCACCCAACCCCTAGTCTGCCGTGTCAGCCTTCATAGGTGCTCGCTAACAACACTTGCCCCAAAAGTCTGTGAAGGCTATATGGGAGGTCTTTGTCTTTGTGTATTTGTGCATTGAAATGGCTTGGTTCAGTGGTGGTGCTAGCCCATTGGGGGTCATAAACAGACATACTTGGGGACTGCCTTTCAATGTAAACTCCTAGTAAAGAGATATAAACAAGAGGTAGAGATGTAATGAGATAAGAAAACATGCAGACAAAAATATAGATTAAGTGAAATGAGATAAGAGAGATGCACACAAGATAGAGATGACACAGATTAATTGCTTCTGTTACGTTTATTTCCTTGTTATGTTTATTTTAATATGAACCTCTATTTAAAGCCCCCTTATTTTCCATGAATCCAAGAGCCATTGGGCTTCTTGGTATCATACACTTGTGCTTGGTTTACTTGATGCCAAGCGCCACCACTCACTTGATTGTATGTGCATCGGTTGTTGAGAAAATGTTCGGTTATGATAATGATTATTTTGGCAGCGTCATACCTGAATTTGTTTTAGCCCATGAGCCAGCGTTCTATGCGTGGCCAGGTGCGCTGCATTAAAATTGGACCAATTAACAGTGATCAGTCGAACTGGAGATCGAATTATATTGTATAGACGGTGGCCAAATTAATCAGTTTTTAAAATAATCCCTGTAGTAGGTCAGCCGTGCGATGGCTATGAATCGCGGTCGTCACTTGATAACACACATCACGACTCTGTGTTGCCTCTAAAAATATACAGCTAATATATTTTGGTAAATATGAAATGAGATGTGGATACCATCCATTATTAATCATTTATGAGCACAGAACCAACATGGATGGAATCCACATTGTAACCCTTAGCGTGGAAGTGAAATTAATGATGTATGGAGGCTTTTAGTGAAAGATGTCCCACACCAAATGTACACGTTTCAGCTATACTCAAAAGTAATTAATATTGTAAAGTGAAATCCTGATAATAGGTTTTTCCCCTTTAATCTGGCAACAAAACAGGTGTTAAGATGTTAAAACACCAAACTGAAACCTTTTACAAGGAACCATGTCTACATTAACCACAATGCTTGCGGTCAGAATGCAAACTAAAAACATACTCTGATAATATATGCATTGTCCTTGAAACTGATTGGTCCACACCAGAGACAGCTTTCTTTTGAGCCTCGTCTCAAACGGTGTTGACCAGAGGACGCCAAAATGCGTACAAATCCTGTATGCGAGTCTGCAATCTCTTCAAACTAACTTATACACTCCAGATAAAGGTGCAGCCCTCCAATTTTTTTCTACCACCACTGCTACAAGAGGGAGCTCCAGAGAACCCTTCATGGAGATATTTTTTGCAAACTATTCCACGCTTAAATTTCGATTTAAAGCTTTCGTGACTGCAGGGATTCATCTTCTTGGTTCTTTCGGTAAAGTCACGTAGAAGGGAAGTAATAAAATAATAAAAATAAAACATAATACAATACTTATCACGACGTTTCGGCCACAACGCAAGCAGCCAGACGTCTTGGGAGCAGTGGGAGTCCCTCCACGTTACCCCACCACACACGACCTGCCAATCGACGAACTTAACTGTTGTGTTACACTCCGCTGCTCCGGATGCAGTTGTCTGGCTTGACCACCTGAATGTGAAATTGTAGTTTGCTGCTCTGAGTCCACATCAGCCATACTGCTGGGTGGACAGAGGTGGTCGGGGTGATTTAAGAAACTCTCTTCATTGTTTCAACTGTTGCCCTGAGACAGCGGTCGGGAACCTATGGCTCGCGAGCCATATATGGCTCTTCTGGTGACGGCATATGACTCCCAGACAATTTTGAGTTGAAAAAAAAATACAAAAATCAGTTTGGAACTGATTTAAAAATACTTGTGATATTGCTTAATAATACTGTGTCATTTTAAAGTAAACAGAAATTAGTTTTGAAGATAAATTTCACGGGTCACGGGGCCTCAACGCCTGCATGAAGCTCAACCTCACCACGTACGAACCAGACTACAAGGCCATCAGCAAAACCATGCAGCACCAGAAGTCGCATTAAAAGTGATACATATTTAATGTATTATACGTTAAAAATACTATATGGCTCTCAATGCAATATATTTAGAAATATTTGGCTTTTATGGCTCTCCCAGTCAAAAAGGTTCCCGACCCCTGCCCTGAGATATCAAACTAGAAACCTCTGGATTGCAAGTCCAGTGTGCGCAACCATGACACTGGCAGCATCTCAAGATTGTAAAATATAATCCGAAATGCATGTCTGTAACCCAAATGTAAATGATGTGCGTATTATAATTGTTTTACAATCAATAATCTTAGCCCTAGCGCATTTCACAATATGAGCCAGAAAACAAAGTTAATAATTACGTCTTTCCCATGACCAAAAATGTCCACCATCTGTGCTCCGCTGTTCCAAATTGTAGAGAGAGGAACAAATTAGTCTGGGTCTCTTTGGCACTTTGCCATATGCCTCATGTTTTCCGTTTTGCCGAGGAGGCTGCCTGTCCGTGTGTGTGCCTGTCTAGCATCTCCCAGGAGCTCGTATTTTCTCACAAGTTCTAGGTAAACGCAGCATTGCGAGTTCGTGGGAAGCGAAAAATGCGTGGGTTCCACACGCTCTCGTTTCTATCTGACGTGCGTTGGTTCCTATCACGGGAGGGCAGGGACAGAAACGCGCCTGTGAATATTAACGAAAACGAACTGCGATGTCAACCAAAAAAAAGAACAAAACTCTGACCGGAATGAAAATGCCGAGGTCACAGAACGGACCCAGATTGAGCCAGATGTGCTTCCTTATAACGCTCACCGCATGCGTGCGTGCAAACGGGACGGTCCCTCGGGTGTGACTTTAATGCAAATATGTGGCGTATTGTGGGCCGAGATGGTAACTACCTCGCCTGTTATGCAGGCCGCTCATGGGTTCGATCCTGATCCCGACTCTGACGCCTGCTGTATATTTGAAGTTTGCATGTCTCTCTCTCTCTCTCTCCCCGCGGTTATGTTGATTTTTCTAGGGATTCTCTGGTTTTCCCCTCCACATTTAGAATCAACGTCACGCGTTTGGAGTATTTGGCTGCTACAAATTCCCATGCGACAAGCCACTTCGTTGAGCTATGCTTTGTGATGGCCAGGTCGCTTCTGAGAAAAAAAAGCTGTACAGCTCGTTGTGCCTCACCTGATAAAATAAAAACATTTGTTTAGTTTTATAGCTTAGTGTGTGCGCGCGTGCACAGTGTGTCAACTTTGACAGCAGCGCTGACGTCAATGCACGTGTTCCAACCCCCATCCCATCGTGAAATAATGGGAAGGCCGTCACCCCCCCCCCCCCCACTTCTCGTGCAGCGATGCAAAGATTCCGAGAGCGAGTGCACCGCGTTGCCTGTGCAACTGTTGGCTGGCGACGACTGACATTGTTAGGGGGGGGAGGCGCAGAGGTTGGTGGCGAGAGAAGAGAGAGGGAGTCTGTAGAGATGGGGGGGGGGGGGGAGAGAAAGAGAGGGGCATGGCAACTGGTACCGGGCACCCAAGAACTCTCAGTCTCGTAATAAAACGATGGGTCGGTTGGGTGAGAGGTCATGTGGGTTTTGAGCGAAAGGAAGAGAGAGAGACAGAGGGATGGGAAGGAGTTTGTCCCTAATCGCTTTGTGTGCCTCCAGTGAGCCGTTGGGACTGTGTGGGTCAACCCGCGGCCACCTGTCTGCAACTGTGTGGGAGCAGCACATGCTGTGTTGACCGCGCGCCCGATGCATTCGTTTCCAGCCTTGCATACCATACAAAGCTCTCCTCTGTCTGGCCAAGAATTGTATATGGGTCCAATTACGTACTCTATCGTCACACTGATCATTCCGAATAAATGTCTTATGCAACGTTGGTTAGCACACTGAGCGGTCGACGGTTCGATCTCCAGGTGCGGTATTTCTTAAATTCACCCCCTTCCGTCCCCCCGCCTCTGTACACCCAGCAGTATATCTTAGTTTGGGATACTCCCACCTGTTTCCAATATTCATGGCCAGGCCAGCATCGAGCAGTAGGAATTAATACGCTGTAGAGGCTCTTCTTCCAGCAGCGGCGTAGGCAGGAAATTGCAGGGCTGCACCTTAACCTTTCACTTATTAGGTAAGCTATCTCACGATGACTTCTGTATGAATTTGAAAAAAACTATCTCTTTTCTGCGTAACAGCAATGAGAATGGATCAGATTAGTTGTAGTCACGACTTTGCTCCTGTGTTATCTATATAAGCTCTATAATTACTGTAATTGTGGATGCCTTAAATCAGTGGTGTGGTCATTCATGAATATTTGGTCCGACTTGAGCTGTCTAACTTAAACAAATAAACCTGTCGCTTAGCCAGTGGAAGTTTAATTATTATTTTTTATTTAAAATAGGTCACTGATATCCGTCAATGACTCGCGGTTTTACTCGACTCGCCCTCTTCTACGATATCATAATAAGGAGCAGCAACAATGGCAGCAGATGCAGCGGCGGCAGCAGCGAAAGGCTATCGTGAATTAATTGTTGTTGTTTATTTGTACTGCAGGCAAATGCCGCGAAGGAAATGCTTGTTTATGTCAATGAGTGCTGTTTGTAGTTGGCCCCTGGCTGCGCCAATGCGCAGCACTTCTTCTCACGCGACAAAGATCAAACCCCTTCTTACATTTATCTCCACCGCGATTTTCAAAAATGCAAACCTCTCTGCCAAAATGCCCTTCCAACCGCGCACCACATGGAAATGCTTCCAACGTATTAGACACTCGGTCAAAAATGCTTTGGCCAGTCATGAAACGGCGATCTTGCTATTTTTACGAGATGCTAAACCCTACGCGCGAAAGATTGCCACGTTCACTTGCATCCGGCGGAGCAGCGGTATAGCGGTTAGTGTCAAAGCCAATGAACCTCGACACATGAGTTTGATTGCCAGCCATGGCTAAACACCAGTGGTGAGTGATATATAAAGTGGTCACCCGCACTGACCAGCGTGGTGAAGTGTGGTAAAAAAAAAAACATGACTGACACAAACATGGGGAGGCCCGCATCCAGCAGTGGATTAACAAAGATCTGTAAAAATGTCATGTATTTATCAACTCTTAAGTCATAAACAGATATTTGTCTTATAGATACGACCCAATGTGATAAAATAAAATAATATTAAAAGCAGACAAACGTAAAATACACGCCTTAAAATTTACTCATTTAAAAGTTATGACAACTCAACGTACTTTTATTTTCCGCATAAAGCAATTGGTACCACTAATGGTTTGCCATTATCGGTGTTACCAAGTGGACCCAATCCAGATATTTTAACCTGTTGTATCACCTGAAATAAAAAAAAAACATTGCGTTCATGTCAAAAAATAAAAGTCACCCATTTGCCAACAGTTTTCCATCAACAACACTTTTCATCAGCCATGATTTAGCTACTGCTGGATGAAGGTCTCGCCACGGCATTACTTTCTCTCAACCCAGCGATGATGCCACAATCCAACTCGCTCCGGGCCACTGTCTGATCTCTTCGCTCCATCTCCATGCTGGTAATCCTCAAGGGCGTGTGCCCTCCGTTGACTGCACTTCCATCATCAGTCTCGTCCATATGCCACGATTATAGCTATATCCGATTAATGTCTTAACTGTCAATATCACGTCTCCAATGTCAGTGTCTATGTTGCTGATCCATCTGTTAAAGTAGAGGGACGTCAAAATCCTTTTTTTGTTGATAGGACTATCTGTTTGGCAGATTCATCCTATTTTCCGCAAATTATTTTGCAGATAAATGGAATAAATTCACAAATGACCCAGTAAATAATATTTTTCGTGATGCCCCCCACCCCCCCTACCCAGATAACCACGGATAAGAGGAATTCAACTGTGCTGTACTATAAAGGATGAGATCCCTATCTCACCTTCCAAGACTAGGCACGCCTTTAGGGGGCAATTTGGTCGTACTCCCCGATGTATATTTATCCTATGTTAGGCCATCGGAGGTCGCGTGGGGGGAAATTGAAGGCATTCCTACTTTTTTCAAGATGTCTGGCCAGCGTAGACGAGTATCCCACAACACTCTCACGCAAGGATCCTCTCTCTGTAGGCCCTTCAATTGGAGGCTCTTCTGCCAGCATTGGCATTAGCAGGTAATTGCACGGGTGCACCTTTTAGCTTGAGTGTCCCATGTTGGCAGGCGGCTTGCAGATTTTGCTGGCAAGACACGCGGTTGCACTCTACAATGTAAATTACATTCGAGGTTTCATCCGAAGGGTAACTAAAACCGCAACGTACATTTGGCCACAGTTCTTTGGAGTACACGGTGAATCTCAGTGAGCTCTCATTCACTTCAATCGAGTACACATTGAATCTCAGGGAACTCTTACTCACTTCAAAAAATTTACAAAGCAGTGAATCTCAGCGGTGAAAAATCTGTGTAAAAAAAACGCACCAAGGGACCGCCTGACCATCTATCACATCTCAATCATTCACAACCGTCCCCACCCCCTCTATCTCACCTGGAACTTGTGGCCCAGCTCGTACACGTGTCCCCGGTACTCGCAGCCGACCCGCTCGCATCGCGGGCAGCAGTCGCTCGGGTAGTGGCTCACGTGCACGCAGGCGGGCGGCAGCGCGGCGCACTCAGTGCGCGCGCACGCCGGACCCTCGGTCGTGCACTCGCACTGCGTGCAGTGGTCGGCGTCCGGGAAGAACCACTCGCCCACGTAGTAGACGCTGCCGTTGGCTCGGCAGGTGCGACCCGTTTGGTGGGCCACGGCGGCGGCGCTCGCCACCGGCAGGCAGCCGCACCAGGCGGAGAGCACGAGGAGGAGGAGACGCGGCGTGGGTGCCCGAGCGCGCAAAATTGGCCCCATCTTGATAATCGCACGCACGGTGGCACACTTTTCTCTCGCTCTCTCTCTGTCTCGCTGTGCGCTTGCTACAGTTGGCCGGAAAGGCTTCACACCAGAGCTGGTGTAATTTGTCGAAAGAGTTAATTCGCACTTTTGTTTTGCGCTAAATGTACAATACTTTAGTTAGCCGAAACGCGTGTTACTTTGAGGCTGATTTTTCTTTTCTTTTTAAATGTGTAACTCGAGCCAGACTGGCAATGCAATTTAAAACAAAAACGCTGCTCTCTACCACAGTTAAACGTTACTTATTAACATATACTGGACTTATAAAACAATGTATATATTTTCAAAACAACAGCACGCGTCCCGTTCGCTGGCGGCTCTTGGTAAACGCGAAGGAGACGGTGGTGAGTCGAGTCGGTTGCACACAGCGGGCTGAAGATGCTGGAGGTATTTGTGTTATGGCTGTTGCTGCTGCCTTGTGATCCTGTGAGTCTATACCGGCGAGACGCGCAGCAGATATGCATCTGTGCGCGGTCACTCTCTCTGGCTGTCGGGAGCTGCTGCCTCCTCCCTCCTCCTTCCTCGCACACCCCTCCAACCTCCATCCCCCCACGCCGTGCCCTGGGGAGTGGCTCGCATCGCAACCCACCCCAGTATGGAAATTCGTAATGCGTAATGCGCAAAAAGAGCTCATGGCTGGCGCTGGTGCGAGCGGCGTTGCGCACCGAAATCCGAGCGTGTTCGGAGTTGTTTGGGGATTCCCTTATTTTGTTGACAATGTTTGCTCCGAAATGTATTGCAACCGTGATATCGGTGTCGGCAAACAGCAGCAGGGGCCACCGATCTATCTACTGTTGCGTGAAGGCATCCCAAAAGCCATTATCATGGATAGTAAACCACTGCAGTCGGCGTTCCTTCAATTTGAGGAATCAAAAAACTACACGAATTATCTCTCTCTCTCCTGAAGGTCTCTCGGGACTTCAGACCTCGACATTGGCATTCAGTTCCTGGACGTACCGCTTACGCAAGAATATAAATTATACAAATGGATATACAGTTGAAATAGTCCACCTAGACCCTGCACACGATACTGATTTGCATCGCTTAATCTATTCTGTGGACGTACTCTCAGGCGCGTTCCATTCCTTGGTCGCCACTTAGTGGCGTAGTAACTACATGATCAGCTCGGGGTGGGGGGGGTGCGGCAATCGGTCTAGTGGGGCCCCAATATTTGATTTTTCTCGCACGGTCGCTCCTCGGCTTCTATATATCGCGGTTCCTCTTGCCTAAGCACATCACTGCACTCAAGGTCTCGAACATTTAACACTGTAGGGGCGCTCCATCTTCGCAAAATTCAACCACTACAGCTTAGAAGTACCTGCCAGAAATAAGTCATATTTAAAAAAAAACTTTTTAAAAAACACGCTTTCATGAAATGCACCGTACTCGTAATGGCAGAACTCCACGACTCCAGAAAGTGGGCCCGAAGCTTTCCATAACGTAAGAGACCGTGGTCAATTACAGCCAACGTCAGTTGAGCGTGGACAATTAGAGCCAAGCCGAAACGTAACATATAAAAAAAATTATGTTTTAAAATATGTGTTTTTTATGATAGAATATAGTATTGTCAGCAGTATGACATAAGTATACCAAATTTGCAGTCGATACCACATTGGGAAGTGGGTTAAAATTGAGTTACAAGATTTGAGGATACAACAACGACAACAACAACGACTACGACAACAACAACAGACAGTGAGATAATAAAAAGCGTGTAATAATTAAAAGGGGAAAACCTATTCTCATATTTTGGTACTGGCAAAGGACCTCCCATGATGGCCCGAAGTACCTCTTTGCAATGATACGTTCCTGCTCTAATTACATTCAAATACAACGTGTAAGGTTACGTGAAAGTATTTTCTTAAAAAATACATTTAAACCACATTTAGAGTCGGGTTTTTGTACTTTTGACACTGTTGTTGAACACACATCTCAAGGTGGTTGTCAAGGGGGCCCCAACTCGTAGCTTTGGCCACCAGGAGAGGCCAAGGTGGGTGGCCCCACGCTAGTTTGGGGCCGTCCATAAATGACGTCACGCGATTTTGTACGATTTCTTTTACCACTCCCCCCTCGTCACACGGCGTCACAAAAATGCAGACCTCCCCCCCTCAAATATGACGTCACAAAGCTCTGCCCCCCCCCCCCCGCCCTCAAAATAAAACATGCTTCAAATCGCTTTAAACTATTATCATTGTAGTGCGTATTTAATGTGGCGCTGCACTCTGATGTTGTAGGAGAAACATTTATATAAAAAAAGTCTATTTAATGAAGTAGAACGTGTTGTCTATATTTATTTAAAGTTGCGCATTTTTATGTGACGTCACATTTCTCACCCCCCCCCCCCCTCTCGTCACACATCGTCACAAATGTCTGACCCCCCCCCCCCCCAGGTGCATGACGTCATTTATGGACGGCCCCTTACGCTACTGCCGCCACTCTGTCATTATTATTGACCATCGGCCATGATACCCACCGTACTGGTCATGACGTGCCCTGCTCAAGCCTTTTGAACTTTCCTTCGCAGTTTGAATGACGCGACACGAACCTGCCCGCGTGTGTTCTCTCATCGTTGCCCATTATTCTCTAATTCATGAACGCGCTCGATCTCGTCAGATCTTGTAAGATAAGCAAGGGTACGCCTGGATTGCGCTTCAATGAGCAACTGCCTTGCGTGAGAGGTGGTATGGGCGAAATGCTGCGGGGCTGCCTTGTGTACTGCAGCGTCGCAGTGCACCGACGCAATTTGTTGCAGTGTACTTCTATGCTCCGACGTCTGTACTTCCCGCCTTCACCAACACGCACTGAGCAGCGTGGTGAAGTATGGTGAAAGAACCCAACAACGTGCGCGGCGTGGGGAGGCTTCTCATCCAGCAGTGGATTGATTAACAAAGGGCTGTACCGTGTGCCATCGGTGTGATGTTATAGTAAGAGGGAGTGTCCAGAGACGACTCTCGCAAAATAGGTGTAGCGCCCCGTAGCAGAGAACGACACTCATCTGTAAATGACGAGAGGCACAGGCGTGGCGGTTCCATGGTGTAATGGTTAGCACTCAGGACTCTGAATCCTGCGATCCGAGTTCAAATCTCGGTGGGACCTATGTAATTATTTTATTATTCTGTGCCGATGAGTCTTAATTACGATGAAACCGCTCCGCAGTTCTGCATCACTGCTGCTGTCAGACACATTTGCTGATTTTTTTTCATGGTGACCTAAGACAAGATGACCATAATGCGCGAAGAAGTAGATATCACAGAACGACTTCTGAGATTTCCTTCAAGTCATTTGTTGTCTCTACACACAGGGGGCACTACACTGCTCCACGTGTCCCGCTAGAGAGAGGCTTTCGTAGCCAAGATAGGCGAAACACTATATTAAATGTAATTGCGTTTATTTGTATATATATGCAGTCAATTGTGAATAGACGGAGATAATAAACCCTTTATACTTGAAAACAAGGTTTAATCGCAGGTATCTGAAACCTGGATTTTAACCCAGGCTCTCAGCAGCACTATCACTGTGCTCTGACCCCTAAGTCAACCAGACACCTAGTTTCAGGATTAAAACAATAATGTCCATCAATAATAAACATTATGAAATGAATGTGTTCAGGAAAAAACAATCCGTGAGACGTACAGTTGTTTCACATTTGACAAACTGCAGGGTCTACTATTATGGTCTCATCAGCACTTTCATCTATTTTCAAAAAATCCCCTTGTTACACAGTCGAGAGGTGCTTCAACGACCGTTCTTCCAGTCTCACTCCCACCTGGCTTTTGGGCTTGGATTTAGTTACCGGACTCTAGGTTCCATTCCAATTCCTGGCGTGGTAACTTTCCCTCCCCCACCTTGCACACGTGCCCCACTCATCGCAGCCTCCTCCTCTCAACGATGCCCACAAATAGTCAATGCCACCACACCTCGCCATCGCCTATTTCTGTTCGACCCTTCCGTTCTTGCACAGTAAGCATCTAACCTCAAAGGTCTGCACTTATAATATCCCAACAATCTGGCTTGATGTCTTCACCTTGGTTGCTGTCTTGTTAACCTGCATGATAGACACGTGTCCCACCCATCACAACCTCCATTTCCGCCTTTAAGAATGTTTCGGTAAATATTAGCAGGAGTTTTACAATCGCAGGATTGCGAGAGATGGCAATAGCTTAGGGAGTCCTTTAATCCAGCAGTGAATCGATTATGGCTGATAACAGTGATGATGGTGATGAGCAGGATAAACGTTGGTTGACTGCATCTGCCCTTTCCTCTGTCAACTCACTTCGTATGGTTAGGATGGTCAGTTTGTGGAATTACATGCACTGCTTACGTTGACATGATTTTGATCCTGTTTGATCATTAATTATTATGGTAATTTAATACATTTTTTTGTTACCACTCTACCCTTGCATCAAACCTACTCAATGTCGAGACCCTTTCCAGCTCGTTCCCCCAAATATCTTCCCTGTCGCCATTTTATTCGGCTTTCTCCTGCGATTTTGCTCGATTCTTTGTTTTGAGTTGGGTGTGAAGACTGGTCTGCCCGATTTCCTGGAGGGGCTGCCTGAGAGAGCACGGGACTCTCCCAGGGCCTTTCTGGGAGCTGTGGTAGTATGGCAACTCTTGAGGTCTATCTTTGAGACAACGTGGTGGTGTGGAGGCTTCCTTGGGGCCTGTGTTTAATACGATGTGGGGGCTTGTGAGAATGCAGAGGCCTGAGTGACGATGTGGTAGATAGTGGATTAGACTGGCCTTTTCATCCATCTAGTTACAGAACTTCAGTTATTTTGACTTTGATTGCTTTTGTGCCCAATTTTGTGTGGTCCCATTGTGTGATGTATTACATTCGTTGTCGTTTTGCATGTTATCAATCTCAAAATGTTCCCTTTTTTGCCTGGATGTTTTGTATATCTCGTTTGCGTTGCAAAGCCGTCGAGTCCCTGTTTGTGGAAATGAGCGCTCAATCACTAAACATTCTTATTCATATCTTGACTTAAAGCTTTCGTGACTGTAGGAATTCATATTCTTTGGGTCTTTCGGTAAAGCCACGTAGATAGAAAAATAATACAATTGTTAAATTAATAACAATATCACGACGTTTCGATCGCAACACAAGCAAACATATATGGCCATATATTTTCCTGCCTCAGCAGCTCTCCCGCTATATTTTTCACCTGATTACGATTGCTTGTGGCTTTACCAAAAGATCCAAAGAATATGAATTCTTATTCATCTAAATTTCGAGGTTTATTTCCATATACTGTCGTATAAATTCCAAGCACACTCCCTGGTGTTGGAGGAGCAATTCAGGTTCAGCTTGAAATATTTATGCACGTGTGTTTTCCACTATCCCAGGAAAGACATGTTTACGACGAAAATAATAAGTTAGGACCCTCGGTGTATCCAAAAATAACCACAGAAGTGCTGCTACCCCCTACCCCTATCCATGCACCCCAGTGCCACAATTAAACGCGGCAGAGAGCCATACAGTCACGCGGGATGACGCATTGGTGTGTTGTATAAATAGCCGATTGTGAGTGGTGATAGTTCTAGCCGTGTTCCCAATGGGCTAAAGCTATGTGTACTGTGGGCTTTATATTTAGGACAGCAAGTCCCCAAAATATCAGCAGCATTGATTGACTACACGCAAACGCTGGTTCGGTTTTGACACGCAGTTTTCTCATTCATTAATTCATAAGATTTGTACTGCGCACACGTTGAACTTTAAAGTATGTATTCAGGGTCGCGGGAGACTACACTAAGCAGAGGAGGGAGAGTAAAGTATTACAATCCTGACAGGAGGGAAGACGGCGCCAATACGTGATGCAGTGATAGCAAAGGGAGTGAATTCCAGGCAACCGGAGCAGCGGCGTTCGCATTGTCTGGTTCGAGACATGGGCTTGAGGAACATCGGAGGTTGCGAGATGGAAAAGACGATTGTTTACCCAGCCTCAAAATGAGTACCTAGTGCGGTGTGTAAACATCGCCACTAGGGAGACAAAGTCGACCGGGTGTGGTGCTGGTCACCCACCCAATTCGCGTGCCGTTCCGGCCTTCATCTGTGCGCTAACAGCACTTGCCCCAGCAGTCTGTAATGACTATAAGGGGATCTTTCTGTGCGTTGTAGCAGACAGGACAGCGACTCTGTATAGAACGCGTTGTTTAAATTAAAGCCATTGGAGTTTATTTAGAAGGCCAGAGGAGTGGGTGATGAGATCGTGTCTTGCGACTAGTGATCCAGTTGCGAATGCGTTTTAAGATGCTTTAGATGTGTTTTTTTCCACGCTCATTAGCGGTCAGACTGCAATTATGCACTCCCATACGTATGTTGGTCGAATGGGTTGTGTACGAAACTTGTTTGTACAGAGACAGACATATGAATGAGACATTTTGATTGCCTGTCTCTTTTGTTATTCATATTCTAATTTTGCATGGATGTTGAACTTCTTTCGCACAGTATGTAGCCAACCGTGCTAATCGGAGGTGCAAACTACCCAGTCGTCAGAATACTTATTGATACTGAAGGAATCCGATGAACTGTAAAGCTTTTTTTCACAGATGTCCAGTAACTTGGAACGTTGATCCAACTGTTCCAACCACATTCCGACGTTAGCCCAGCGTCGAACATTTACTGGGTAGGACCGGCGTCTTAAAGAGAGGGCCCTTACCTAGAACATCGGCAGTTCACCAGCGCTGGCTGACTCTGTCCTTGAGACACCGTGTGTTGAGACGGGTCTAGGGATTGTTTGTGCTCAATCAATGGTGCTGAAATGATTCACTCCCAGAAGGCCGTGAGACAGGATGGGGTTTGTGTAAGAAACGCTTTTGGGTTTTATTTTTTTACGTGGAGAGACGGCTACAGTATATGAAGCAGACATTGTTTTGTCTATTTTTTTTAAACAAAATTGTGTGATTCCGTACTGCGGTGGAATTGGCGCATTTCTTTAAAACAGTTTTTGTGTCTGTTTAGTTTCTTGTCCTTCCCCCGCACCTCTGATGAGCGTGGTTGGCTACGTACGGTGCGAAAGAAGTTCAAGATACATTAAAAAAAACAACTCGGCACGTCCGTCCGTGTGTAAACACTACCACAAAATAATAATATAAAATAGGCGACGTTTCGGGCAATTGCCCTTTTTCATGGCACATAAAACGTGTCATTAAAATACAAATCACACGTAATTTTAAATCATTCGATGTGCTATGAATAAGGCCCATTGCTCGAAACGTCGAATATTATATACCCCCCCCCCCCATATATACATACCTGTCAACCTGTTATCAGTGCCTAGCTTATTACAGACCAATGCAGACCTTATATTCTTGGTTCTTTCGGTAAAGTCACGTAGAAGGGAAATAATAAAATAATAAAAATAAAACAATTAAATTCTCACGACGTTTCGATTGCAACACAAGCAATCATCAAGTGTGAAAAACCACAGCAAATGTTCTTGCAACACAAGCAATCATCATCAGGTGTGAAAACCACAGCAAATTTTCTTGCTGTGGTTGCAATCGAAACATCGTGAGACTTTTATTGTTTTCTTCTTATTATTTTATTATTTCCCTTCTACGTTGCTTTACCGAAAGAACCAAGAATATGAATCCCTGCAGTCACGAAAGCTTTAAATCGAAATTTAATTCAGACCTTATTGTTGCTCTGGGTGTGTGTCAATAAAGTTGTCCCCGTCTCCTCCCCCACAGCGCGCTGTCAATAAAGTTGTTCCGACCGTCGCCGTGGTTACCGACGACGCCGCTGCGCGCTGGGATCAGCTGACGCCGCGGGTACAAATCGTCTTAACATTTTCTAAGTTTTATATTTATCGTGCACGGTGGCTGCTTTCTTGATGTTTTAATTCGAAGTTGTTGTTTCGCGCTGTCTGCTGAGCGTGACTTCGTGGCCACGGCCTACTGTGTGTCACTGTAATGGCGTTACGGTACAATGCTGTTCGTGTACAGTCCCCTATTGTCGATCCACTGCTGGATGAAGGCCTCATTCACGACCGCGCGGGTCGTCGGGGGTTATACTTCACCACGCTAAGCACTGCGGGTCTGGTGAAGTCGGGGGGCGTATGCGTACCGTACATGGGGACATATAATTACAGTACAACACTATTTTAAAATCCTTTATATTAAGTTCGCTTGCTTGCTTGCGTGCTTGCTTGCTTACGACCGTGCAAATCTTTCGGTCGTTTTTTAACCCACTTCCCGTGATCCAATCGAGCTGACATTTTGCACACAGACTCGTTGTGCGAGACAATTAATTTTTACACTGTTTAGGGAAAACAAATTAAATATTTAATTACCAATTGTTTAATACTGGCAGACAATCATCTGACCCATAGGTGGCAGCCATCTCAAGCCAGAGGACGAGAGGACTCTAGCCGCCACGCATATAAAGGATTTAGAGTGAAAAACTTTGTTTTTACGGGTTATACTTATTCTGGACTGTCCTCTATCTAAAACCTACAGCAGCAGCAGCCTATAGCACCTGTGATGTGCATGGTGATCGCCCATCGCAGCACTATCCAGGCTCACGGCTGATTGGCTTCAAAGTTGGCCATATTCCAAATGATTTGGTCAATAGATCACATTTCATCATTCATTTATCACGTTTCGTCGTCAATCCATCCACAATCAATCCGTTATCATTAACCCATCGTGTTCATAGTCATTATTATCACATCATCCATCTGTCCCTCCATCATGAACACGTTACGTTAGTTACAGCAGACACAAATAAACAACATTTCATCTCGCCAGAGTAGAGTGATAGCCGGAATAATCGTAGAGGGAGCCCTAGTCTGGCAAGTTCATAGGTCCGGCTAGTTGCGATTTAAAACCCAACAACAATAACAAATAACCTATGTGCTGTACAATGTAAATGTACCGATGTATAATACATACATTACTGTGTGTATTGTGCTTGTTAGTGTACAGACCAACAAACAATACGCATTGCTGTGTACTGTGTAAAGATCGCGTGAATAATGCCCGCCGGTTCACTCACTAACCACCGCCTCTCCCCAATCGCTCCTCCCTTAATACGATTTACATAACTTAGAAATTATCCTAATACATTGTGTTACAAATGGTATATTACATAATGTAATCGAAAGTATACAGTATGGACGTACTTTATACATCTGATGTATTATGTAAACATTGTGTAATATCTACTGTATTTGTGCATAAAAACTATTGCACGTAGATTGTTTTTATGAATTTGTCAGTTACGTATTTACACATTCATTCATTTACCGTTTAGTAAAATTCTATTTTTCTGTTTCTCATTCACGAAACATGTTCATGAAATTGTCCATGCATCACCCCATCAATTTTTCACGATCAGTCCATCATTAATTCATTAGTCCATCAGTTAACCATAATCATATACACAGGATCTCACTTACGGTATCAATTGATTTCCCATCAGTCCATCTTCATCTTCAAAAGCATTCGTCTTTTTTTTCTGTCACATGGAAATGGAAACATAAACAAGGGTACATCGTCACTGGATGCGGATTAAACTTTTGCCATCGTCTCGCTGGAAAGTGAATATAAGGTGAAACTGTTCCATTATGTGTAGTTTGCCACTGTTTCAGTGCATTCATCAAAGGGAATCGGTCCTAATTCATCATAATCATCAGTTCATTGTCCACCAAAACTTCAGTCATAAATACAATAATACAATAATACATTTGAAGTACCGGTGAAGACACTTGACGCCGAGGTGGAGGCACACGGATATTTATTCAACAAAGCTCGTATGTGACATACAGCACTGGAGGGGGTATCGGCCCCCTCACCCGACTAGCTAAGGATACTCTTCCTAGCTAAGTCCTAGCCTGCCTCACAGTCCTCCACTACTGGGCTAGGGGAGGCTACTTGGCCCGACACTGGTAAGTCGGGCCGGCACCCGGAGTCCCAGTCCAGCTCTTAGAAGAGCACCGGCTCTGGCTTTCGGGACCACGCCGCTGGCTCGGTCCTGTTCGGCCCTGACAAGGACATCGAACGAGGGAGTCCAGGGCTCTATCTAAGACGTCTTCAGTCTTCTTAGTTAACTATAACATAACTGCCCCCGAGCCCATATAACGTCCCCTTTTATACCCAACCCTCCTTGAGGGGTGGGGCCCCGGGGGATCATAACGCCAAACCAGCCCCCCCCCAGGGTGTCTGGCTCGGACGTCGCAGAGGGCATCTCCCTGTGCACACACGTAGCCCCGCCCACTGTGTTTCTTTCCCATAGACTGCCATACATAACGGCCCTCTCTCTAACATCCCTACATCACTCCCCCCTACATAGCTCGCAGCCGTCCCGGCTGCCAACATACAGAATGACAATAAAAATGAATTTTTACCGTAACCGCGCGTGTGCCTCACTAACTTTCAACAATAACAAGAACGGCAACAAGAACACAACCAAAAAAAAAAAATGCAACAGCAAGAAGAGAAAACAACCCGACGCACCCCCCCTTGAATAAATACGAATTCCGTAAGAACAAGCTATATACAATTTGCAGCGAAGCCACCATACACACAACAGCAGGTGAGCACAACGTATGTAAATTCAATGGGCAGGGAACACACCCCCCCACACAACACACAATGAACACAACATATATACACATCTTGCGGTTTCACAACAGTCTGCGCATTTTTGCGCGTGTCCTCGCGGCGGGCCCCTCACACGGGGAAACCCCGGGTGGCGGACCGTCAGGTGGTAATCGTCCGTCCCGGAGTGAGGCCTCCTCTGATGCCGCGTGACTGTTGGTATCCCCAGAAGGGGTGGTCGGGCGTGAGCCCGTCAGTCTCGATGCACCTGGAGGTGGCACGGCCGGCAAGGCATTAGGTGAGCGCGGTGGAGACGGACCTAGTGAGTCGGTCGACCCCCCACACGTCTGGCCACGCATGTGTGAAGTGGGTTTGTGTACCGCGACGAAGGGTTTCAACCGAGAGGGGTGCACGAACCATCGCCGCTTCCCCCATCGAATGCGCACGCACTGTGGTCGCAAGACCTCGACCACTTTCACAGGGCCCCGCCACGGCCGCGCCAGCTTAGGGGAGGTAGCCAGGGGTACTTGGGGACAGTGCAACCATGCCCTGTCCCCCGGTTTCCACTGTATTACATGCGCCCGACCCAGCCTGAGACGCTCGTTCGCCTTTTGACGGAGGTCCGAGTTCAACCTCGCAGCATCCCGCGCCTCTGTTAATTTAGCCAGATTAAATTTGACGTGGTCAGCCAATTTAGTTTTTCCTTGCGGGTCGGGGATCTGCAGCTGGGCGCGAACAGGCGGGTCGGGTTCGCGACCGTACATAAGGTAAAAGGGGGAAAATCCCGTAGCTGCATGGGGTGCCATCCGGTATGCCGCCAAGACCCCCTGAATATGCAGGTCCCAATCAGTCTGTGAATCTGAGACCTGCTGTGCCATCATTGACGAAATGGTGCGATGCAGGCGCTCGACCATTCCGTCAGTCTGTGGGTGATACGGGGAGGTCCGAATTTTCTTTGTGCCTAAGAGGTCACAGACTTGTTTAAGTAATTTGCTGGAAAAATTTTTACCCTGGTCGGTCAGCAGCCGTTCCGGAGCACCTTTGTCCAGGACGTATCCCTGAACAAAGGCGTCCACGATGGCTGCTGCCGACTGGTTGGCAAGGGGCCAGGCCATGGGCCAGCGCGTAAAATACTCGACTCCTGTCAGCAAATACCTATTGCCCCTGGGGGTGGCGGGAAATGGGCCCAAGATGTCCAGCGCGACAAGCTCATTTATTCTGGACACCTTGATTGATTGCAAAGGCGGGTTAGACTCCCGTGCCGGCGGTTTCCGTTGCGCACACCGCGGGCATGAACTCAAAAGATCCCCAACATCCTTTGTCATACCAGGCCAAAAAAAATCTAGTTGTATCAGTGCAAGGGTCTTTAGAGTCCCCAGATGTAACAGGCGCTCATGCGCGGCCCACACCACTTTGCCTCGCAACTCAGAAGGGACGACCAGCCGATGTCGCTGTGATTTGCCGTCCCAATGCATGAGCAGACCCTGTACCATTTCCCATGCACCCGAATCACCTTTCACCCGCCCAGCACCCCCGACGCGACGACGCCACCCGAGGAGGGAGGTATCCTCCATTTGGAGGCGCCCCCACTCAGTGACGGGCAACCCCAACAGGGAATCCCTTCCCTGTTGTTCGATCGAATTATCAGGCAGTGGTTCGTCGTCGTCGGTGGCTGCCAGGATCGGAACCGATGCGTCCCCTGAAGGTCTGCAACGTCCCGACCCCAGGAGGCATGCACATTCCGAGGTGGTTGGCATGCGTGACAGAGCGTCCGCGTTGGTATGGCGAACGCCCTTACGGTAAGTGGTCTCAAAATCAAAATCCTGGAGAACCTCCAACCATCGAGACAACTGTCCCGATGGTTGTTGAACTCGCAGGGCATACTGTAGTGCCGCATGATCTGTGCGGACGGTGAAATGCCGACCGTACAGATATGGGCGATACTGTTGGATGAAAAAAACAATTGCCAACAGTTCTCTACGGGTGACACAATATCTCTGCTCCGCAGGAGACAACACCCGACTACCGTACGCGACCACCCGTTCAACGCCATCAACCACCTGGGAAAGCACACCCCCAATACCCGTGTTGCTCGCATCGGTGTCGAGCAAAAAGGGCTTCGAAAAATCAGGGTAAATCAAGGGAGGGGCTTTCACCAGGGCGTCCCGAAGGGAGCGGAACGCAGCCTCCTCCTCTTGACCCCAGTGGAACCGAACCCCTTTAGATGTTAAAGCGTGCAGGGGTTTAGCAATTGTTGCAAAATCAGCAACAAACCGTCGATAATACGACGCGAACCCAATGAAACTCCTGACCTCTCCCACCGAGGTGGGAGTCGGCCAGGAGCTGACACACTGCGTTTTGGCGGGATCGGTAGCAATACCTGAGCGTCCCACGATGTGACCCAAATAACGCACCGAATCACGCAACAAATGGCATTTTTGGGGCTTGAATTTCAAATTAGCAGCCCGCATCTTTAGGAAAACCGCCCGCAACCTCTGGAGATGTTCATCAAAAGTTTTACCAAAGACGATAACGTCATCCAAATAAATGAGGCACGACTCCCATTGCAGTCCAGCCAAAACCAATTCCATTAAACGCTGGAAAGTTGCCGGCGCTGAGTGTAAGCCCATCGGCAACCGGTTGAATTGAAACAAGCCGTGCGGTGTACGAAAAGCAGTTTTAGGCTTTGACTCATCATCCAGAGGAAGCTGCCAGAATCCCGAAAGTAAATCGAGTGTGGAAAAGAATCGCGCTCCCGCCAAGGCGTCAAGCGATTCATCCATCCGAGGGAGCGGGTATGCGTCGGCAACCGAAATTTTATTAAGACGCCGGAAGTCAACGCAAAACCGCAACGAACCGTCCTGCTTTTTAACCAGGACGATCGGCGCTCCCCAAGGGCTGGTGGAAGGAGAAATGATGTCTGCGGCCAACATGTCATCAACAGCCGATTTGACATGGTCCTTTTCGGCGGGACTCAACCGAAACGGATTTTGGCGAATTGGCGCGCTGTCACCCGTGTCAATATGGTGACGCAGCAAGTGAGTGCAACCCAAATCATATTTATTTCGACTAAAAACGTCGGAAAATTCTCGCAGTAGTGTTTTAAGTTGTTGACGCTCTGAATCGGACAGGTCCGTCGATCCCGCACAAAGCGCCTCGAGCCACCCTTCATCGCTGTCCGAATGCGGTCGCGACGCAGGGACAGTGTTGACGCGATTTACGGCGGGTTCCTCACACGGCACCGGCGTTGCGTGAGCAAGCACGGTCCCCTGTGGGACCACCACCGTCCGCGAGCCCACATTTAGGACCGCGATGAAGGGTTCACCATCCCCTCTCACTATGGTCTGGGCCGGAAGTAAGTCAGGTCCACTAACCCCGGCCCTAGACGGTCCCAACAGTACCCTTGTGCCCCAGCACCCTTAACGAGGGGCCGCCGAAGTTTCAAGGGTACCAACATTTGCGTCCCCGGAGGGACGCGTACCGTTCTCTCCACGAACGCCGGCACCGTCGCGAATGCCGTCCGAGTCGCAACCGGTGATGGCAGAAACGCCATGCGTCTGCCCGACGGAAGCTCTATGCAACCCTGGTCGATCAAAATTACAATCGGCATTTTGGCCAGGAAGTCCGTCCCCAGCAGGCACGGAACCGCCAGCGAGGAAGAAACAAAAATCGGCCCAGACAATTTTATTTCCCCAATACAAATTTGGGCACGAATTTGTCCGATGATGCCAAGTGAGCCCCCGTTAGCCGCATAGAATGGTATGTTAACCGGCATCAAGGGACGACTCCGGACAGGGAGAATATTATAAATTAATTCCGAAATAATAGTCGCCGATGCTCCCGTATCGACCAGGATGCGCACTTCAACCCCGTCGATATACCCCACAACGGCCGACGACCCCGACGATGCGGCAACCACACGATCGGCCAGCACGGACCACTGGCCGGGTTCGATATGGGTACCCGGAGTGGTGCGTGATGGTGCGATGGTGCGTGATACCGGCCCCCCTCTCGTCGCGGTGTTTGAGTGCGTGACGGGTGTGTGTGTGGGCCAAACGTGTGGGGTGCCGCGACTCGCCGGTTTTTGATGGTGGAGCTTGGGATGAGGCCCGTCGTCCCGGTGAGGTGTCGTCCCGCGCTGACGAGGAGAGCGGCACCCCGAGGCGACGTGGCCCCGGACGCCGCAGTTAAAACACCGTGGGAGCGGCGTCGGAGGTGACGAATGGTCGGAACGGCCCGACCCGTCCTGGCCCGGCCGTGCACTCGTCGCCTGTTGCCGTCGGTGGTCGACGGCGTAGAGTTCCTCCGTCGGAAGGGTGGCTGCAGCCACCGCACGCCCCGCCGATGCCCTGCTGGCTTTCCGCCGGAGCGACAGGAGGTTTGCGTGGAGGAGCCGCGCCGCCTGGAGCGATGTCATTTCCGCGTCCTCCTGTGCGACGACAGCGATGTCAAGGTCGTCAGCCAGGAGGAGTATTTTCTCCGTCACCATAGCGTCGATGCCGTCGTCATCCATACGGGGGAAGGCCGACTTGGCCATCGCCAGGAGGCTCGTTCGGTACGCCAGGGGCGACTCCTTTTCACCCCGTTTGCGGTCGTAGAACTCCTGTCTGCATTCCGCCGATGGTCCGTAGACCCCTCCCAGCAGCTGCAACGCCATCGGTAACGTCGCCCGCCTCTCTTTAGGTGCCGATGTGAGGGCTGCGAGCGCGTCGCTGTCGAGGAGCGCCGGCAGCGCGCAGAGAGCCTCCTCGTCTGTCCACCTCGCCATCTCTTGATGGGCGAGGAATCGCCTGCGGAACCCGGCCCAGTCCCCCTCCGCGCCGACGAACTCTTTCAGCGGGGGCAGCCTCTGATGGAGTGCAGCGGTCGTTGTTGATTCCCGCGGGCGGATGTCACCTCCACTTGGCTGTGCGTCGGTACGAGCGGCCGATGGAATCGCCTGTCGCGGTGGTGATGACGTCGTGGCTTCAGCGACGGCGATGCCGGAGTGGATGTTTAGGCTGGCCACGCCCCGAACAGCTGCAGCGTCGATGGCGGGAGATTCAAACTCGGGCTGCTCCGAAATGGCGGGAAGGCGCCCTGGTCGTTGGGCCGTCTCGCCCCGTGCTGAATCACCGGCCCCCAGCCGCGTGATGGACTCCAGCGTGGCGGCAGCGGCGTATAACAGCTCCGCCAGCCTCCCGTGAGCCAGCCGCAATGCGTCTGACTGTGATCCTCCTTCACTCGGATGCCCCGGTAAGGAGACATCAGGCTCCGGCTGCACTGTGGCTTGTGTAGCCGTCCCGGGCGTTTCGATCTCGGCAGTATCTTCTTCTTGCGGTACTTTGGCCCGCGTTGTCTTCCGCGTGTCCATGTTCGAGTTTTACTTCTGACACCAGTTGAAGTACCGGTGAAGACACTTGACGCCGAGGTGGAGGCACACGGATATTTATTCAACAAAGCTCGTATGTGACATACAGCACTGGAGGGGGTATCGGCCCCCTCACCCGACTAGCTAAGGATACTCTTCCTAGCTAAGTCCTAGCCTGCCTCACAGTCCTCCACTACTGGGCTAGGGGAGGCTACTTGGCCCGACACTGGTAAGTCGGGCCGGCACCCGGAGTCCCAGACCAGCTCTTAGAAGAGCACCGGCTCTGGCTTTCGGGACCACGCCGCTGGCTCGGTCCTGTTCGGCCCTGACAAGGACATCGAACGAGGGAGTCCAGGGCTCTATCTAAGACGTCTTCAGTCTTCTTAGTTAACTATAACATAACTGCCCCCGAGCCCATATAACGTCCCCTTTTATACCCAACCCTCCTTGAGGGGTGGGGCCCCGGGGGATCATAACGCCAAACCAGCCCCCCCCAGGGTGTCTGGCTCGGACGTCGCAGAGGGCATCTCCCTGTGCACACACGTAGCCCCGCCCACTGTGTTTCTTTCCCATAGACTGCCATACATAACGGCCCTCTCTCTAACATCCCTACACATTTACATGCCATATATACTGTACCTAAAACTTCATGTAGTACAGTACCGACAAGGTACTTGGATTGTGAGGGCTATCCCATTAAAATTATTCAAAATGACACGGAATTGCTCCTCTTCAGTGATGTTAAGGTATTATATTATTAATACGTTTAATTTATTTTACCCCACAAAGCATTCTTGTGAGCTGTAAATATACACCAGATGTAATTCAAGACCGAGGCATGTGCATTTCACTGTCGCATAACTGACATACGTTGCACATTTTAATCACTCTAACATAACCGTCACTCATGCGGTCCTGATACTCATGCATGAAGGGGTGCCGCGGTGGCGAGATGTTAACTACCTCGACTAGTATACAGGAGGTTGTGGGTTCGATCCCAATCCTGAAACCTGTACATTTGGAGTTTGCACGTTCTCCCCGTGGTCGTGTGGACTTTTCTCAAGGTCCTCCGGTTTTCCCCTCCACATTTAGAACATGCATTTATCGTATTTGGCTACTATAGGTTTCTACATGATAAGCCACATCATTGGGCTATCATTTGTGACCAGGTCACTGCTGAAAAAAGCTATATAGCTCTTGGGCCTTACCTGGTAACATATTTTTGATAAATATAAAGGTCGCTTGACTGCTCTATTTCCAGGTGAGCGATGGCTAGCTGGGCTGTCCCATCGCCCAACGCGGAGGCATCTTCTGCGGAGTGGGAGCTGAGGCCTCCTTCCTCTCTGTGGCTACTGATAGAGGAAAATGTACCCCCCGCGGAGCGGGGCGAGGTCAGGGCCGCGCTGGGAGATGGGGCCGTCACCTATAGCCAGGAGCTGCATGCAGAGGTGCCCTACCGCTACTTACACCTGCACTCGTTTATGTTTTTACTTTACATCAAGTTAAATTCCATTGACGTGAATCAATGATACCTGATGGTGTCAGCCCACGAGCTTTGATTACACTAAAGTGTTGAACTAAATGTGCGATGGACATCAGACATACCAGACTATATCAGGTTCACAGTTGTTCTTTATGAGGCTAAAAATGTCAATGGCAAAATGTTATGTTGTCAATAAGGCATTTATGAATTCGAGATGACAATATAAAATAAATGTTGTACATAATAAATAATCTGGGGGTGGAGTGATGGTTAGTTAGTGCGCTGTGCTAGAAACTTAGCTATGATTTTGATTCCTGATCATGGCAAGTGGTGAGTGATACCTGATTCTGCCTTGTCTCCCTTCAACCAAAAATAACCAACATGATAGAATGATAAAATAACCCACGTGACCAACACAGCATGGGAAGCCATTCATCTCACAATGGATTCACAAAGGATTGAAAATTATATATAATAATTATTAAACAATTTGGACATTTTACAACACACATTACCTGGAGGGATATTTAATTTGCTCTGCCTCAAAAAAATGGTTGATTTTAACGCGGGGACATTTTTGGCATGTGTTAATATTAATAAACCAAATTACTGTCAGTTGTTTATTCCATGAAGAACATGAATGATCCAAAGAAACGTGGTGAAAAGTGATATGATGCATATATTAAAAAAGTCAAAATGCATTTTAAAATAACAAAAAGTATGGCTTGGTAAACATACCGTGTTGTCTATTCATTAAACCCAACTTTATTCATTATATATGTTGGCATGGATTATTACCAAGGTTCGAGAAGAGTTGATTTCTTTCTTCCAATGGCTATGTATGTATGGTGAACTTATTTCGCACTGTACGTAGCCAGGACAACAAACTAAACACAAAAAACTGTTCTAAAGTAATTCGTTTTCAATCTATATTTAAAAGCACATAGCTCCAGTGGCCTGCCTAATATCGGAAGGAGGCGCGATGCAGTGATCATCTTTGTTCAATGGGTAGCTATAGGCTGAAGTGCTATTTTAGTGTGTAGGTATTTTATCGTCAGAGCTTGGATGTTTTTGCAACGTGAATGTGCTGTGGGCGGCTCAAATAGGGGACAGACAGACAAGGTTTAGTTGCCATAATGTGTGCAAAGAAACAAGGGCTCTTTGTTTTGGATAGTGAAACCAATGAGGACATTTATCAGGCCGGCAGTTAGTGGAGAATTCTTATTACAGTATTTTATTATTTATTTTTGCCCCCCCCCCCCCATTTAGATTTATCTGTCGTCAGTCTGTCAGGCAACATGAAATGATACCATTCCCTTAGTCCAATTTCTTCTTTCACTTAAATTATAGCTGGAAAATTGAAGGTTTCACAGTCCAAAAATTCATACTGTGGGTTTGTGTAATAGGCCCCGTGCAAACACATATATTTGCGGTTTGGTTTATAAATTTAAGCTCTAATCAGTAATTTATAAGATTCGTTAAATTTTTAATGGATAAAAAAAAATGCATTTCATGGTACAATAAATCTTTTGTATATAAACCCATCGCAGTGATGCAGTAAAATACATTTGAATGAATTTTTTCATTTTTGTGAAAATGCTTCAACAAAATGTATTTTTGTTTTCTTCTTTACTCCGAAATTTCTCAGAAATGGCATTTTTTTTTAAAGCAAAGCTTTTTGTTGGCCCTTAACTGTGCACTTTTTAATGGTTGCAGTTGTCTGATTACTGTAAGTTAAATACAGGACACTTTCCAACATGTTTCCAAAATTCTGAGCCACAAAGTAGAGTTTTGGAAAATAAGCCTTTACTTTCTGTATATTTGTCCAAAAATAACATCAATAAATAGGGAGTTGCCCAAGTGCTATTAAGTGTGTTTTCAACATCAAGCAAACCTTAATAATCGTAAACTTTACATATTTCTTTTAGTTGAGAAAATGCCAACTTCAGACTGTTTTTATTGCCTTTAATCCTCCACAGCCTTTCCAAAACACGTTTTTTTCTAAACCTTTCCACTAACTATAGCCACAGAAATGAATAACCTCCCTCAAGCATTATATCATGATCTGAACTTCGCAATGCTGCACTGCGGTTAATGAACGTTGCAATATCAGCATGTGCACGTTTTTTTGTGGCCATTATGGTTTTTTAAAGCTAGTTTACTCCAGAGGACTGTTTTTTGGGGTAATTTTAGTAATATTAAAGCTACCAGTTAGTGTCGGAGCTCATGGCAGATGGATGAGGTTTTGTCACAGACATTGGTTTCAGATGGTGCACAATTCCAGTGCAATCTGGATTGGTATTTCCCCCAAGCTCTTGGCTTAACATTCTCAAATCTTTGAGTTTTCACAAATCCTCAGATACATATGAAGGGGTTTCATCGCAGATATTAAAGCTGCCACTGCAATGTATCCTCCGCGATCACCAGTTGCGTTCGAAATTACTATCATCTGATTTTTTTAGTTAATATAGGCATTGATGGATGGTATTAAATAGCATTAGAAAAAACACATGGATATTCTTTATAATGGCCTATTTAAATTGTACTTCGAGCCATATGCAAGATTTAATACACAAATCTGAGCCGCAGAGGGACATTTGTTTTTCACTCACGTTTTCCACTCAAGACTCTTTATTTTGTTTTCACTTGACATAAATCTTAACAATAGTGAATACATGGCACAGCTTTCCACACAATTGAATTCAATAACTCTCCTCCTAATATTAAAGTTTGCACTGTTGCTTGCTGAGTGAGCTTATAGCAGTTTTTAATCTGCACGGTAATAATGAATGGCGACAGCGAGCAGGTTCCTGCAACCAAAGATTGCTGCTGGATTTCCTAGCTGTCTCACTGAATAGATGTTAAGAAAGGCAATTCTATCTTCTGTACCCTTAAAAATCATGCCTCTTATACAATTCAGAGTATGTACATATGTTAAATTTATTTCTCACCGTACGTAGCCAACGATGCTAATCGGAGGTACAAGAGTACCACTGACCTTAATTCGCCTGCAAGCAACTTAGGCAGTTAACACGAACGTTTCATATGTACAATGTTGTGGAGCTTTGTTTAGTGTATTATTAGTTCAATGTTGAATATGCAGTACAATGTATGACTCATGCAAAGTGCATGTCCAAAGTAATGGTCGAATACACATGCTCGAAAACTTCCAGTTCTTTTAATGTCTTCACGATAGTCCAATCTTCCACGCCTACCGATCAAGACAATTATTGCAATTCACTTCACCTACTTTACATGTGAATTAATATGTGGGTAAACTTGAAAAGCTGGCCCAATTGTTTGAGTCTATCATATTAGTCCTCCCTAAGTGGCAAAGACACCTTAGCTACATAAGTGCCTATGTGGTAGTCGGCAGAGGCCAGTGCAGCAAAATAAATTATTGTAGGGTATTCTATGGGTCTTTTGGTGGCGATCGAAACGTCGTGATATTTTTAATATTTTTCTTTCTTCGTGGCTTTACCAAAAGACCCATAGAATATGTATTCCTGCAGTCACGAAAGCTTTAAGTCAAGATTTATTGAATGGTACTGATTGCTGTTACCAACCTGTACTGACAACTGGTGAAGTACGGTCAAATCACCCCCAATAACTGGCAGAGGCCTTCATCCAGCACTGGATTGACAAAACGGCAGTCATCACGCTGCAATGTTAGAGTTTAAGGAAGCAGGCGCACGTGAGCGCATTAATCCTTCCCTTTGCCATCACGCAGATGGAGTGCTTGTTGGAGATTTGGAGGGAAGTATGCTCTGAGAACGGAGCAATCCAGGACACCGTTGTCCAGCAATCCCGACCTCGCCCGCTGGCCGACCCGCCATCTGTGAAGGCCATGCTGCGGCAGGAGATTCGGCTGCTGCTGCTTGGCCTGCGAGAGAAGGCACGCCAGCATGGACGGTATGCAGACGCTCGCCTTCCGGCTACAGCGAGCCCAGCCAGTCCGTGTGTCTGGAGCAAGGCTTGACAGGAATCGATGGGTTGTACCACTCCGAAAGAGGGGGCCGTGGGCGGGGGTGGATGGGAATAAAGTGATTGGTGGGGACAGCACAAAACCCAAGTTAAGATAAACCGGGAGCGATGGATGTTTAGGAATTCCAAAGTTATTGCTGCAATGGAGAAAAACAAACCGTGCATCCTTCCTTATGCCAGCATTTGTGGAATAGATCATGGTTCTGCTGCTTTGTAGAATTAACCCATTGAGAAGCTATAAGTATACAAAAGTAGGCACTGTGGTTTTTGCAAAACTCCTATTGTACTGTATTGCAACATGTTTCTTTTAATTCAAAATAAAATATGAATGTCTGAATTCATAATAGATGCATAGACTAGTCAAATACGTATTTGTATCATGCTTGATGCACTCTAAACAAAGATTAATCTCCCCCAAAACGTGTCTGTTCTAAAGTTATTATTTGTTTTACTTTCAGCTAAAAGGAATGTATTTACGAAAGCCAGTCTGAAAAGCCTTACCTCCTCTTAACGTATTATTATATGGATGGTTTCCATGAAAAATGTGGATGGAGGACGCAACGGTGGTACAGTGGTTAGCACACTGCACCACCTAAACCTGGAGGTCTGAGTTCAGTTGACGGTCATGGCCAGGGGTTGGCAACCTGCAACTCCGGAGCTGCACGCGGCTGTTTAAGGACTGCCTTGTGACGGTGTTTATGAAGGGCCACCGTCTCGTATTCAGATGCATTGCGGCTCTTGAAATATGTGCAGAGACAGACACATTTTGAGCCTTTTTTTTACCAAATTCGAAAAAATGGCTTTTCTTTGTTATTTTGGTTGCTGACCTCTGGCCATGGCCAAAATTATGTGTCAAGTGATCATCTGAACTTGTCCTTGAACCCCGACCTCCAGACTAACCAAACTCTGCAACCGACGTGGCACAGAGGCATTCATTGGACATTGATTTGACAAATAACTGTTGATTCTTTTATTGTATTATTTGCATATTATGTTCATATAGGCATACATAATGAGACACCTCAATCTCCCACTTATAAACATATCTACATTTCTTCTTTGGGTCTTTCGATGAAGTCACGTAGATAGGTTCAAATTAATAAAATAAAATAAACAAAAAAAAGCTACGTTTTAATCGCAACGTCGTATTTTTTTGTTTATTTTATTTTTATTTTTAACAATTTAAACCTATCTACGTGACTTTACTGAAATACCCAAAGAATATGAATTCTTGCAGTCACGAAAGCTTTAAGTCAAGATGTATACATTATTTATCTATCTTGTGTCAACCTCATAAATCATGGGAATATTCAGCTTCATTTCTGGAAATTCCCATACAGCTGCTCACATTTTAACACCAATTCATAATTATCCTTCCTCTTAATATACCTTGATTACCTTTCCATTCTCCCTTGCAGAATCAGCTTCATGATGCTCCTACTGACTATCTTTATAATATGCTGCACGTATATTATGTTAATGTTAGACTTAAATTTCGATTTAAAGCTTTCGTGACTGCAGGGATTCATCTTCTTGGTTCTTTCGGTAAAGTCACGTAGAAGGGAAGTAATAAAATAATAAAAATAAAACATAATAAAACAATTCTCACGACGTTTCGGCCACAACGCAAGCAGCCGTCCTCAGGTGAAAACCAGGTCCGTCGAGGCGACAGAGTCTGAATGAAACAGCACACGGGCTTAGAGCATATATATAAGCTGGGCGCATTGACAAAGGAATTTGCATATCAACAGGAATTTAGCATATTTATGGGAAATGCAGGAATGTAATTAGTACTGCATATGCATGTGCATTATGCAGGATTAACAGCATCAAAGGGAGCTGCAGTTACTGCTGCTGCAGCAGTTGCTGCTGCTGCAGTTTCTGCTGCTGCTGCAGTTGCTGCTGCAGTTGCTGCTGCTGCTGCACTTGCTGCTGCTGCTGCACTTGCTGCTGCTGCTGCACTTGCTGCTGCTGCTGCAGTTGCTGCCTTATCCATTTTAATATAACACTATGTATTATTCTACCCACCCTAATGTGTATCATACTGCTTCCACTCACTGGCATCGTGCAGTGTGCAGAGTAATGTATGGTGTCGTAATTGTACAGTAAACATATAGCAGTATGATACACATTAGGGTGGGTAGAATAATACATAGTGTTATATTAAAATGGATAAGGCAGCAACTGCAGCAGCAGCAGCAAGTGCAGCAGCAGCAGCAAGTGCAGCAGCAGCAGCAAGTGCAGCAGCAGCAGCAACTGCAGCAGCAACTGCAGCAGCAGCAACTTCTGCAGCAGCAGTAACTGCAGCTCCCTTTGATGCTGTTAATCCTGCATAATGCACATGCATATGCAGTACTAATTACATTCCTGCATTTCCCATAAATATGCTAAATTCCTGTTGATATGCAAATTCCTTTGTCAATGCGCCCAGCTTATATATATGCTCTAAGCCCGTGTGCTGTTTCATTCAGACTCTGTCGCCTCGACGGACCTGGTTTTCACCTGAGGACGGCTGCTTGCGTTGTGGCCGAAACGTCGTGAGAATTGTTTTATTATGTTTTATTTTTATTATTTTATTACTTCCCTTCTACGTGACTTTACCGAAAGAACCAAGAAAATGTTAGACTTCCCAAGAAATTCCTCCTAGTAGCTGTTCTCTCAACGCCTCATTCATATTCTTATCACACCGGCTCACACTACATCCTCCTGTCACACCACTTCTAAAATGCATTCAATCTTGTTTTACCTTCTATCAATAAGTAGTAAGCGCAATCTGTATTCAGTGGTAGAATACATATGGTAGGTCAATATTATAGCACAGTTGTTTTTGTGCTCAATCAAAGAATACCATGTGTTTGCAAGACAATTGCATAACAGAAGCATGTGTTAGTAGATCAACTCTTATTGTGACGAGAGGTTGCACGCGCTGGCTGTAACCCCCTTTGGTCCCCCACGTTCCTCAAATCCCTCATCCCTCCCCTGGATGGTTTTTCTGGGTGTGCCGGTGTACTTTTTTATAGAACTGCTTTCAATCAACTGAGAGCGAAAACAAGCGGTAGCAAGTAGCATTGGACGAGTGGTGGTTGGCAAAAGACAGCCTCTTTATAAAAAGGTTTTAATGTGAGATACATGGGATCATCCTCTTCCATAGCTTGAACACATTTGTGGTTCATTTGGTTTATGGGCCAAGTGTGGATAATAAAACAACATTCTGTTCTGACAGCAAAGGTTTAGGGATTATTTTGCATTCCTTTGAAAGGCTATCCTCCTGCCACTGTGGCCTCCACATACACACACCGGCTGTTTTTTGGAAGTTGGTCAGCCAGACCTGCGACTGCTTACTACCCTTTCCTTGTTACCCCAGGGCTATAGTTTTCTACAATATGGAACTGCCAACAGTTGTGTAACTAGAGCCATTCCCAGGGGCCAGGAAAATGAGCAGCTAATGGGGGTTCCCTTGCCTACAAGGGGTCCCAACAGAGGTGCTGGGCAGAAGGTGGTCTCCAAGTGACACGTTGGGCTAGGTTAAGGAATGGCGAGTTAACGGGGCAAGCACTCTTGGCATCCGTTTTATGACAGATGTTAAAGTTGGCATGCATTTACTGCAGGCAAACTTGGCTGGCGTTTAACCTGGCACGTGTGTTTACTGCCGCATTCTACCTGGTGTGTGTTTGGAGGTTTCAGTGGAAAGAGTGTGATCGATTTTGGAGCTGGATCTTTCTAACTCCCGGTTGACATTTAAAAATGACATTTTTAATATGATGAACAGGAAAAATGTTCTCAATTTACCATAAATCTATGTTAATGTCACACTACCCTTTCAGAAATACATTGTAGAGCATATTTTTTGCAGAAATTGTTATTTAAAAAAGGGTTCAGTCTATTTTTTAGTGAACATTCAAAATATAATTCCTGTAATAGTGTGCACATATTTACTGCGACCTAAACAAAATTGGCCTTGTATCTTGGAAAAATGTGAAATATATAGAAGTGAATGCCTAGATTTTAAAGACCGGTGATTTTGATCACGCAAGAATCTATGACTTTTTTATACCTTTGATCATAGCACACATACACATGTGGCTGAGTGAGGGCACTCAGTGCACAGTCTTGTCCACTCACTACAGTTCTCAGGCTCCAGGATAAACATCGCACCTCCTGGCTTAGACATTCCTCGAAGACACCGGTGTAACCATTAACTTTATCGGAACCTCACAGACTGATGCACATCTCTTTCATGAATGGAAATTAAAGGCTAGCCACAGTACGACTGTGGCCATGCAACCCGCACTATGGACCATGTAGTAAACCACTGTAGTCGCTCCTTCAGGAAAAGTAAAACTACGCCAACTCTCTCCTGAACCCCTCTCTCATGGCTGGCATACCTCGACATTGACATTTATCTTCTGAATGTTATTGCCATACTCAATAATACAAAGAATATGTCACAGGCTTTTTTCCTTTAAACAATATAATTATCTATGATACTCATCGTTCATGTCTACAATCAGAACTGGAATTTTACTGAGAAGGTAAATTATCCAAACTTTCTAAATACAGTACTTGATTTTTGTGGCAAGTGTATAAAATATGCAAAGTGCAACTGGGCACATGGAAATCATTTAGTTGCTTACTGGCAATTTTTTTTACATGGATGCCATCATAGTCCCAATTACCAACAACAATCTGCTTTTGTGTTGTAATTTTATTTTCAAAGACTTATCTGCCATTTATCTCCCTCAACATGTACAGTTTATATATGATTTGATGGCAGGGATGGCAGGTCTTATGCTGTAAGAGATAACGAAAAGAAACACAAAAATAAGGACAAACATAGCTGCCTAATGATTTACAACCAGGCACACAAACATTAAAACAGATGGTATCTAGTGACTTAAGCAGCACTGCTATAGCTCATAATGTACCACTACCAATATTAATGAGCGCTGCAAGTTGCTTTGGCGCACAAAATGTCTTTACCGTATGCTTACATTACACATCCCTGCAGCAAATGCCATTTATAGTCAGCTACAGGGCTGACATTGATTCTATTACTCATCCAGATACCCTTTTATAATCTAATTATCTCACTTGTTACGTGGAGTCTTGTCAAAATCGGCAGCCTGGGCATTGGACCCCTTCTCACTCACTATCCCCTGTATGCGGTTCCAAGGATGGAGATAATATTTATTTGCCATTAGTGGTGGTGATAGGCTGTCAAGTGTGACTTCTACATATATATGGCTGGGAATTGATGGAGGCATGGGCTGACATTCATGGTTACAAGTCAACCACTGGATTGGTGATATACGTTTATAAAAAAAAAATGAAAATACAACTTTAGACCCGTATGCCACGAAAGAGAATATCTTATTTTTAAAAATGTATATACAGCAGCGAGAGGTATCAAGTTAAATTTAAATCCATGATGTGCATTAATCGCTAAGAGTTGTTCCTATTGCAGGGATGAAACGGAAGTGATGTCGCGGTACAGTCAAGAAGTGGTGGAATTTGCAATGGACACACGGTCGCCCAGCCTTCCTGTGGCCTCACAGCCACCTGGGTCCTACAAAGATCCAGGAGGCGGCTCTGCCGGCAGGCAGAAGCTTAGGCACCCATCCACTGGCGGAATCCTGAAGGACCCCATTCATCCAAAGTGGGGGATTACCAGGCCACGCACAGCAGCAGTGCCACAACAACTCAGGTACATAGAGGACAAAATCATGGCCTCTTAGTACTTAATTATTTTACGCCTCTTGTGCTTTGGTCAATAAACAAAATATTGTGACACTTACTGGACAGGTTGTAATAAAAAGCAAACTTTTGTATAATGTCTATTAAACTGTTCTGAAAAATGTATCTTAAATCGTAGCCAGTACTATATATGCACATACCATTTCTCTACAGCAGAGTATATGGTTAAAGTGGTCAATTGAAGGGATATCAGAAGTAGTTCTGTAATATGTGCTGCTATGAACCATTGGCTAATACAGAGTGATGTACTGCTCTGCTCGAGATAGTGGGATTCTTCCATGACATGTCACTGGTAGCACAATTTGGGACCTGTGTCGGTACTTTACATCAATGGACATTTCTGTAAATATATTGGCCACTAATTTGGGATTATCCAACAGGCCCTTGTCGAGTCTGTCGATGTCTTCAAACCTGCCAGACGAAATTGAGGCTCTGAAGGAGAAACTCAATGTGAGCCGCATTGATGAGGTGATCGAACATCTTCGGTGAGGCATAGACACACACACATGCACAGCACATGCAGTAGCAGAAAATACAAAGCCAAGATTCCCCCATGTAATGTACATAGACTCTTAGGCTATGTGCTTTTAGCAAGCACCCATCATAGTTCGTCATCGTGGGTGAGTGGTACTGTTGCCAGCACCGGCCTTTCTCTCCCCAGTAGTGGTAATCACACATCACACCAAGAACTAATTTAAGGTTAAGTCAACCGAGAGGATGTTCAGGATTGTTCAACCATAGTCAGTGTGGATGAAAGAGGGGTGGAGGGGCACCTAGGACTGATTCAGATATCACTCACCACTGATGTTCGCCATGGCCAGGAATCGAACCCAAGTTGCAGAGTTTTGTAGCACAAAGTGCTAACCACTGTGGTCCCGCACATGTGTGCATGCTCGTGCATCACACATGCATGCGCACACATGCGCAGAAGGATATATGTGGCACAGAAGTTGCAGCAAGTTCTCGGCAAATGTACTTGCACATGTTCTTTTGTGAATGCAGTAAATCATTTGCAGGGTTTCGTCAGATATTAGACCACAAACGGGTGCATTTCCACCCTGATGGTAATTTAAAAACGCTGAGGATAAAATGATGCATTATCAGCAGAAGACACCAGATGACCAGCAGAGCCATTTCTCATTAAATAACTAAAAATGCTAATATCTCAATCGAATACAAATCCAATTAATGACTGAAAATTATTGCAAAGTTGCCTTTTGTTTTCAAAATCTAAATTATGGTAGGCACAATTACTTCAAATACGAACAATGTTTTCTCATAAAAAAGTTACTATCTTCTTCTTTGTTTTGACTTTGCCATACTAATTTGGAAAGTGAGTCAACATTTGTTATGAAAATGTAATGCCCTCATTTGAATACTCCCTTAAGATTCACACAGCCATTTTAATGCATATTTATGGCCATTGTAAATTTAAAATATATATATTCGTAAGCTATTTTCACAATGTTACATTGTTGACTCTAATAAATTCAACATCATCAGTATAAAATTAACTATATATTCATAAGAGGCAATATTATACCAAAGGATGAACGCAAGTAAAGTGGGTAATCATTTCAAATCTGTTTTCTTTTTTAATTACACTTTAAGGCCTTGTTAGCTGCCCTTCGTGAATCTTATTTGGCAAGTTCCTTAACAGTTTATTTTCTGCTTTTGCTCAAGGGCCCCGTTTTAAAGTGGAACATTGCACGCACACTGAGCAGTTATAGAGCAGGGGTTTAGAGAGTACTGTAAGGAGGTAACAGGATCAAGGGTAAAGCTGTGCCTGCGAGCTGTGAGTGAATACCATGTGCTGCACATTCAGTTCACCCCGCATGGCTCTGCTTTACCACAAACTGCTATCTGAAGTCCCTTTTTTCTGGCCGCAGGACAGAAACACATCCACTGCACGGCTCCAGCCCAAACATGTCCACATGTGCACGGGGGCGATTTGATTCACGTCATTTATTTGTCACCGAGATATACAGCCTAATGTGACGTGACTAATTTGCATTTAGCCCTGTGGGTGTGTAGAGGGTTGTGTGTTATTTTGACTGGCCTGCAATGGCAATGCACAGTCAAGATGGATTAAAAATACTCAACGTGAAAACACGTTCTAAGCAACTTTTTGAAGACGATTTACAAATTAAGTTGTATTCGATTTTCATGGTGCAATATTCTCTGAAATACAAAAGTATAGGCCGAGTTGGTGTTGAATAGTGTAGAACTAATGATGTTAAATTGCTACATATGAGCCAGGGCTTTTTGTGATAATGGGTTAGTGGTAATATAAACATGAGTTATATGAAACAGGTTTTACCATATACTCAAGGCACAGGGCATTTTAGGTCATTACATAAATATACCTTTGTGAGTATCCACAAATGTGTGTTCTGATTAAGGTGCATTAAAATGACATTTCAATCAAGTTATTAAGCATGCAACTTGACAACCTCCTGGAGTAAGTCCTTGCAGCAATTACAACAAGTAATGCACTTCTTTGCTTTTTCCCACATTTTCATTCCATATGTACTCATGGCATCATGTCATGTGAAGTAATAATATTAATTGAATAATGTGTATAGCCTTTTGTCAATCCACTACTGGATGAAGGCCTTCTTACGCAGTGTTGGTCATGGAGGTTTGTTTAACTGTACTTTGCCGTGCTGGTCTGTGCAGGTTTGCGAAGAAGGGGGAGCCAGTACTGGTTTAGATATCACTCACCCCGAACGTTAGCCATGGCCAGGAATCAAACTCAGGTCTCCAGGTTCATAGTGAAGTGTCATAATCCATTTCACGACCTTTTCAATTGCAATATCTCACACGACCTACACAAATCAAATGTTTTGTCACATCGCAGTCAAAGTGATATTTTTAATTCTCAGAGATGGAATTCAGCCCAATTAACTGAAAAACAAGTTTCTCGTGATTTTTGAGCACTCCTTAATTACCAGCCTGAATCTACACTTGCAAACATAGTTTAATCATGGGTGGCTACCTGGATTTGTGCACAGAATCTCAGGAGTACCAGCTGAATTATCTTTGATCTCTGAGAAATCACGTATTGCACTTTTCACAAATTTAGCAAATATAAAGAAGGTAATTTTTACATCTGGATTAGTGTACAACATTTTTTGGGAGAAAAGAAATATATCAGTAAAACATTCAGAAACCTAACACCCCATTATTGCAATTCACTTTTAGCAGAACTAACCATCCCACAATTGCCTGTTGGCCAATGCCTTACATGGTAACTGGAAAATGCATGTGCAATTTAATCTGGAAATGATGCTGACTTTGTGGAATGTTGCCGTTTTTATTTTGTCCCAATTAAAAAAAAAGTATTTGTTGGAGTGCATAAGGGATGTGAAAAATGAGTCCAGAGGCTCTGCACAACATTTGGAAACCTTTTAGTACAGTGTGGTACATGTTGAAGCTTAATTAAATCCCAACCTATGACTTTGGCAGCCGACAAAGATATACATTGTTACACAACTGACAGAATCTGCAGTGTCAGTGAAAAGCCAGCTGGCAACACGAGCACTTCTAAAGAATGAACCAGCAAATGAAAAAAAGTGTTTTCATTTGGCAGCAACTGAGGAAATAAAATGAATTGCCAATTGTTGCGCTGCATTTTCCATTTTTTTTCCCAAATGCAGACTTTGACAATGACCATCAAAAAATTAAACAATCTTGCAGTTGCACAAATATTATTTGAAATTAGTTTTGAACGAGCTTTTGCAAGTATCAACATTTCGAATGTTGCGTGTCATAATTTTTTCATAGTTTACGAATGGTAAATTGGCAGTGATGGGGTGGAAATGCCTTGTATTATTTCTTAAACCAACGCAAAACGTTTACACGACAGTAATCGTATATCATATAATTAATGACACGTGACATTACTAAATTATTGATGTCAGATGAAGGATGCCAATGTATTATACAGTGTTGGAGGTTCGCATGGGGCATTCGGTGCACAGGTACAGAATGTTTTTTTCCTAGGTCTGCAGTTCTTTGCCCAAGTGCTGTTATGCCTTCCTGCACTTTCAGCGTGATTTTAGACAGACAGAACCTAGCGAAATCCTCACTCGTGTCACGACCTGAAATTGAATTTAGGTCACTTGTCCAAGGGAAGGAAATGGCTCATGAGTAATTATGCCACCTTGTGTTTTTGCCTACAGAATGAGTACAGACCACCACTCCAAATAGGGTCATCGTGTGCTTAATTATTTAGGTTATATGGAGCTGTGGACCCATTAGCTTCATACATATATTTTAATAAGAATGGTTAAGGTATATTATTCTCATAGGAGTTCATCTGTTTTGACTTCATTATGTTTGCAGGAGTTTGCTTAACGAAGAATGCAGTACTTTGGAGAAAGACATCCAAAGTTTGCAGGTACAGAAAATCGAATGTATCGCCAGTTTTTTCAATCACTTAAGCTCAAGCTTGTCAACCTTGCTAACCCCAATAAATGAAGCAAAGTCTATTTGCTGATGTATTACTTTGTTAAGTGGGACCATATAATAGTGTCATTCTTCACAGTATGCTAAACCATTCTGTCCTCGCTTTGAAGTGTTTTGTTTAACTGCCTTTGAATCTCTTTACAAAGACCTGAATCAAATCAGACAAGATGACGTTGATGGACAGTGTCTTCACTCTCATTGTGACTATAGCAAAAAAAATGTGGCACTCACTACTCATGAACAACACTGCTCTGTGTGTCACGATTGTCGCCACAGCAGTGCGTTCAAGCGAGCTTAAAACCCATTAAAACCAGAGCAAACGTCTGTTTTTGTTGTTGCCTTTTTGCCATTGTAGTTGGACTCGAATGTAGACTGTGGGATTTTCAATAAATATGCAAACACCCACCCAGATGGGGAACAACGCTGAGTGCATGAGATGTGTGCAGTTTTGGGGGCCCAGGAACAAGGAGGCAGGCTTTGGGAAAGTGGGCCATGTTGTCCCACTGGTGCTATTTGGCAGCTAAATAAGGTCCACTCCATACCACTACCCCCCTCCGTCCTTTTCCCCTCCTGTCTTTGTCTCTCCGCAACCTCAGGAACACTTGGCGGAGGGGCGCAGGGGACCGGCATTGCCGAGGAATGAGCCTTCCATCACAGGTCTGAATCACTGCCACTTGAGCAGAAAACCACTGCAGGATGCATACGTCTCTCAACAGAAGCTTTATTCATTCACTCTGCTCTTTAGTCTTAGGACAAATGCATGATTAAAAAGGCTTTCATGCTGCAAACGTGAATTTAATTTTGCTACATGCTAATTTTAAAAATATTGCTGCATATCTTGGTGATGATAACTATAAACTGTTGTTTTTGTCAGCTATCAATTAACCATCTGTGTCTTGCAATAGTTGCCTTTATCTACTTACCGAGTTCTGGCAGGAGAAATTCTGAAAAATGTAACGAATTATGGCAAATTTTTTTACTTGTTCGCAGTGAGAGATATGCTGTGTTGTTAGTGCTCTTCATTTATATGTAGTGTCGTGCACTTCCACGGATTTTATACAGCACAGAGTGCAGAGGCACAAAGCAGAGTCTGTGGCAGTTGCCATGGCAGTAAATCAGAGCCTGTATTGTCGTGTGTCATGGCGCTTGGAGCATGCTGCTAATTCACTCAGAATCCCTTAAGTATAGCACTGCACCATGAAAGAAAAAACTTACTTCGTGTGGTAGACATTCTGGCGTCTGTAAGATGGATAGTAAACGTCCACAATATATAACTTTACATTTTTACAACTCGTGGATAAAAAAAAAATATGGATACTAACTTGAAAGCCAACACGTGTTTTGGCAATTCGTCTTGTTGTTTCTGTGGTAGCATTCATTAAAGAAAATGACTGGGAAAAAGTATTATTGAATGCATTGGGCATTTCAGTTGTGAAAACTTTTCAGCCAGTGGTGGAGACAGTATGTACATCGGCACTAACTTTCCATTCCAAAAAATAAATATCCGGATATCACAGTGTAGCTATCTGCCCACACAGCTGTCTCCAGTTATTTTGCTCTATCAAAATTCTTGTTCATGCCACTATATATAGAATGGCGCTGCTTGTCACGAGAATGGATCCCTTTCTTGCCAGCAGTCCGCTTAAAAGTGGCAAGCTGCGTTCAATCGCGCGGCTGCATGGTGAGTGTACACAGTATAACTTGAAATGTCTGCGTGCACAACAGGCAGTGGGATGTGCCTGTGTGACTGCCTCAAGTAAACCATCTGCGGCACCGTTTCCATTGCTTTATTTTAGACTCATGCCTTCCCCTTTTTACTTAAGTCGCGTAGCATATATATTAGGCATGTAACAATGCATTGATTCATCGATCCTGATGGATTCTTAATGTTGGCAATACATGCATCGAATTATGACGTGTAGCAATCGATTACAATGTCACGTACAAATTATATATTCATGTTACATATAGGCTAATGGTGCAAACACAACTGTATGAATGAGACGGGGGGGAAGGGAACAATACAATGGTAAATACAAAACAAAATCAATTGTTTCTTGAGTAGAATCGCGAGCCCTGGCTCGTGATAATTAATCAAATCACAGTGGTAAGGCGGTTGGGGGAGGGTTTCTCGCTGCATGGCTAATTCCTCTAGTATTGCAGCCCGGTTGTGTGGTTGTTTTAATTCATGATCACGAACAAAAGCGCCTCGAAAAATATTAAACCTCGAAATGCTAATTGGTTTAAAAGCGTATTTACAGCATTTACTTATCACGAGAGTACCTGTTTTCCAGCTTTGTACTGAATTATGTATTGTCAAGTATGTTTCTGTTGGGACAGCCTATTTAAAGCCTTTGTAGTCATTATCATCAGCATCATAAACCTCATGTAACCCGGTAGGAACCCATTGAGACGTCCACTCCTGCCAGCAGCACATTGCACTGCAGACCTAACACACGCAACTAAGGATGACTGAGAAAAATATAATTATGCAAAAGAGTCCAGCACATTTCAAAGCATACAAAACATCAAGCATATCCAATCAAGTACTGACAAATGAGAATAGAATACTTTGTTAACTTTCGGCACCTTATAGAGAGGTTTCGTGAACTTATGTGGTGCGTTCCAGCACTCATAAGCACGAATCGTTGTTCCAAGCCATTTGCTTTTCATCCCATGCCAAAACTCTGTGAGTTTAGTGAGATTTTAAAACCAGGGGCCACATGGACCAAATTTGGAGCTTAAAACTTGGTATCAGAAAGAAAAGAAAAAAACGGTCTTGGGCTATGGCATGAGCACATAAGGAAAACTCGTAACTTCAACCTTGAAAATTTGAAGCAAGACATTGCGAGTGAATTATGGAATTATATTACAGAGCCAGCCCAGGATATTTAAAATGTCCATTTCAAACTCGGCTTGGATAATACTTATTATAATTTACAGCCCTTTGTCAATCCACTGCTGGACAAAGGCTGTCCCATGATGCATCAGTCATGGGGACTGTTGGATCATAATTGACCACGTTGGTCAATGTATTGGTATAAGACACAGCCAGCACCAGTTCAAATATCACTCGCCACTGATGTTAGCCGTGGCTGGAAATGAACTCGGGTTGCCACATTCATTGTGGAGTGCGCTATCTACCACGCCACTGTTCCTACATTTTATAAATAGCAAAGTAAAATAAATTACTGGTTGTTTTTTTCGTTTTGCATAACCTATGCTACGATAACAGGAGAGGTAAGTCGTTCAAATATTATGAGCTACACGAAGGTGAATCTTTGTTCCACAAAGCAGGAATGAAAATCACCCTCCCAGTCTTCTGGAACCAATTTGCAAGCCACTTGACTTAAAAAAAATCTGCCTCATGATTCCACAGCTCAAGAATTGCTTGCACACACCAGCCAGGCAAAAGGATGACATGATGTTTGTGTGGGGTCATGGTGGGAGGGCTTGGACTGAAATGTCCTGACACCAGGAATTTTAATAGCCCATGGGAGAACATGGCAGTGTTAAATGAGCAGCACTTATTGTGCTGCACTGAAGCAGTGTTGCTGAGCTTCACAAGCACTACACGTAATGTACAGTGTATTGGTCCTCTTGTTGGCCTTTAGAAACCAAGCAAGAATAAGTATGTTTTGTTGAAACATGCCTTTCTCGTGCAAACACATTGGTGCGCTAATGCGGTGTTTTACTCAATTTACACGAAACGATGACATTTTGGTTTCCCAGGAATCCTAAAGTTCACCCATGACCGCCTTGCTATTGTCAGTTGTGACAGCTTGACTGTGACCGTGAGCAGAAAGGTCCAGATGGGAAACAGCTTGAGCTACACCATGTGGTGTCTTTTTGTACGTGCGTAGGCATGTCGACATGAATATACTCGTATTTTGTACACGTGTGCGCATGTGCGTGCATGTGTGTGAAGCTCATGAGTGCCGAGTTTTACTGAACACTCATTTTGTCCCTTAATCTATTTTATTTTCAAGGGACACAAAAGACCTTCATCTCTACGTGGGCACAGGCCATAGTTTATTCACATTCCACATAAACAGCAGACTTGGCTTTACAGTCACACAAAAAAACATTAATGATATCATATTAGATGGTAATATGATGTATTGGTGACAGTTATGATTGTGATTGACTCGTGTCGATTCTTAGGAATGCTAGAACGCTGAAACTTGCTACACATATAGGCAAGTCTATGCTTACAACTCGACACATACGAAAAATTAAAAGAATATATTTGGGCCCCCAATAAATTGTGACATGGAGGTTGATTGTTTTCACTGATAGGGCACAATTGGCCTAAAGTTTTAGTGTTGTAATTATGATGCTAAACACTTACAACTATACAACCCCCCCCCCCCCCCCCATCGTCGGTGAACCAAGTAAATCACCACCCGTGAAATGTTGACGTAAAGTCGATATATGGTCAAAATTACGCCCCTTCCCCCAGGTCGGTAGCACAATATGAAAATAGCTATTGCTTTCAAATTGAACCTGATTCAGTGCGATACTTTAAAATAGCCTATTCTCAGAGCGTCAGGCCCCATGACGATTGTTTTCACACTCGCCTCCTGGCGTCTGTAACACTCCTTCCGTGTTACATGGAACAGAGCTCAAGGAGCAGCGCAAGGTCCTGGAGAGTGATCTGCGGGTCATGTCAGCCGAAGAGAGGACGTCGGCACCCGCGCTCACGACGCGCACACTCAGGCACGTGACATTGTTCTTCCTGGTGATTTTAGGGAAAATCCATGACCGCAGGTATGCGGATGCAAATAGGCGTTTTTTTTACGTTTCACTTTTAGTTCTGCATTTAGTCGCGTAGTTTTCGGCCGCTTACAGGACGCGAGTGTTGTTTTTGTCGTGTTTTTTTTATATATATATAAATCTTTGCAGGCTGTTTTCATAGTATATGGTTCGCCTTTAAAGGTAAAATACTTCATGCATGTTAATTAACCAAAAAGCTTGTTCAAGATATTTGTAAACAGAAACCATTAGAAATACACTGCTATCTTTTTTCAACATTACTAAATACAGACCGCCTTATTCAAGCGGGTGCAGCAAGTTAATGGGAAATCAGATGGTTTTCATTAAAAATACAGTACCTTTAAGCTTTAACTATTTTGTCAGGACAGCTTCACGCTTGCATGAATAACCTCGTTCACGTAAATAGCTAAGAGGGAAATTGTCTCAGGCTCTTGTTTCCATGTTATTTTTCTCACTTCAGCCGTGTTGACAGGGTTCCTCACGCCGTTTCTGCCAGATCACCCGGTGAAGCGTTGGCCCCTAAAGCGGCGACGGTTCGACTACCGCCACCCTCCCCTCTCACGCCGGATAACGATGAGTCCCCCGCAACTCAGCAGGGAGGATTCTACCCGGGTAGGCCACCTCCAACGGCCCCCCTTCGTCATCCACACACAACCCAGGCTCCATTTAATCCCTCCGAGCGACAATTCGCCGAATCTCAGAATCCATCAAGTCCAGCACCTTGTGACGGACAACGCTTGCAAGTGACTCCCAGAAGCCATGACAGGGAAGAGGAGGACACCGATGGATGCGATAGTGAGATAACGGGGAGCGGTGACATCTTGGAGGTTCGCACGTCGGCCGGTTTGGCTGAAGGGAGGCGGCCGCTGGTGTGTGCGAGAGGTGTTCCGGTGCTGACACCTCTGACAATGGGCACCCGGGCGGCGCTCACACCTATGCCACATGCACGGGAGATGTCGGGAGCCCGGCTGTTGATGCCCACGCCACCCAAAGGAGCCAGGCCGCTGGGAAAACATGCTAGGCCAGCACACAGGATCAGGATGACGCTCGCCGATGGAGTACCTTGATGGCACATGCTGCGTGCCCCCTCTTACGGCAGGCTGATGTGGGCCCGCAGGCCATTTCTGCATTCACAGTTGATGCTGGGGGGTCCCCTTGGCTAGACTACAGCAAGGCATTGCAAGCACTTCGGAGTTGCTGAGGCATTTAAGCAACCTATACATGTGAAATGTTCGGTCTAAGATGTGCAGTGTTTATTTTTCAGCAGGTTCCCCTGGGGCTTTCTTTTGTGGTCAGCATGCAACAATAGCAAATAAGGTTGTTTTGAGACATCAGTATCTCTACCGGAGACTTGAGATCACAGTTTGTTGTTGGTTAAATAACAAGCTGAGCTGCTGGAATTGCATTGAAAAGTAATTCGTCTTGATTTCTAACTCGTTTGGGGCATTCTATTAAGTAGAAAGCATTGCCATTTTATTGTTTGGAAGCTGTTGCTCCTTAAACAAAAATTGTGAATGCACTCTGTGAACATACTCTTTGGTTTTTTCGGCAAAGTGACGTAGGTAGAAAATAAAATAAATTACATTAAATTTTTATTTTATTTTATACCGACGTGACTTTACCGAAAGAACCAAAGGGTATGGATTCCTGCAGTCACGAAAACTTAAAATCTACACTCTGTGAACATCAAGGGCTTAGGCAGAATTTGGATGGTGCTCTAATGGAACAGATTTCTTCTTAAGATCCTTTGTAAATATCACACCGGAACGAATTGGTCTATATTAAAGCCATCTTGAATATATTTAATCGACGGGAGCTTTATTTGTCTTATCAGAATTCACATTTTAACTGCAGTGTTGTTGTTGTTTGCCACCTAGTGGGCAATCTAGAAAGCAGCATTCGGGTCTGTTAGTCAAGCTTCAGAACACCATGGAAATTGTACGGCCTAAGGCATGTAGTCTATCGCCAGCAATGTAAAACACTTATAATTACATTATGCCCCATGAAACACAAAAAAACATTTTATTTGCTGTCGGGAAAAATTCATTTTTTTCTATCAATTGTATACTCATCACAGCCAACATCTCGAAATTCATCGGACCTCCCCATGGCCCATTCTTTCAGGTGTACCAGTATACCCAATTATGCCATAAACTACGTGGCTGTGGAACAAATGTAGGAAATTGAACCGATGCTCAAAATGTTAATGTCGGCCTCCGTTGAGGCTTGATGACCGGCATTTGAGATGCTCGCTGCCTGTGGGGCAGGAACACACCCTGTATGTTGGCTTTGCCCCACACTGCATTTGGCGTCTGTTTATACAGTAGTACCAGTCGACCGGACATAGGGGGCAACGGAAGACCGCTGGATGTGACTTGCAATCTGCTTGCAAAATAAAGGACGGTTATAGGTACGTTCTTGGAAATCTGTAAAGGGCCTTTTGTAGGGGATTAGTAGGATACATGGTAAACACTCGACACATAACGATGCGTTGATTCGTCGAATAAAATACATGGTATGCATTTGGAATGCTTATGATACGTGTAGCAAATTACATTGGTGAGAATTTATACTAATAATATGCGAATGTAATACTATATTGAGTGAGCAGGCAAGTATTAATACTACCATGGCATATGAACAATACAAAATAGAATGTAAAAAATAGATAAGAGTTTATTATTTATTAAAATAATGACCCCAAATCATAGAAATGCATCAAATCTCTGAGTAGGTGACTTATTACATGCCCTGTGCAAATCCCATATTTCCATGCAGAACACTCAACGACAGATTTTACTACTAATTTTGCTACATCTTTGTTGAACGGGTGATTCTGCGTCTTCGAGCACGCGACTTGCAAATCTGTGCATTGTAAGTTTCAATCCTGATGAGGGTTTCATTCAACTATTCATGCCTTGGGGGAACGATAAAACAGGTACCACTTAATCAGAACTCAACAGTCGTTTTATGGACACTGTGAGACAATAGTAATTCCACCACTGGCTCAAGGTCATAAACATGTGATGAGCACTGACCCACACTCAGTTTACTGAGTAAACACTTCAAGGTTTGTTTGTTTTTTGCCTGCCACGTCTAGCCAAATACACTGTCCAGTTTGCGAGTCGTCTCAATTACGGGATGTGGCCTTTAAAAACATAACACCATAGCACCGCTCCACGCGTATTCAATAGTCAGAAGAGAATTGCCCTCAAGCCCTCTAAAACTCCCCCGGCGAACTGCAACTACCCCTGCCCCGTGGCCAACGTGCACCCCCAATTCGCTTCCTCACCCTTGCCCTTAGAATGAATGCTTGTGCATTTTTCTTCCCAAGCAACGGAAGGTAAATGGGTGCATATCCCAGCGGTGCCTGGAAAACCAGCAGCCTGTAACAGCCACCGCTTTGTATCTGCCATTAGTGCCTCCCCCTTACTTGCACCTCCCCAACTATTTTTACATTCAAATGTATATATTTTTTCACCATCACTGCAAAACAGTCTTGAGCCACATTATCTGGAGTGCTTATTTTACAATTGTGCTCTCGGATTTCCCTAAACTGTTGCCAGAGTAAATACAGTATGTCGATGTACAGCTCCTTTGCCAATCTGCTTCTGGATGAGGGCCTTCCCAGACAGGGCAGACCATTACTTCACCATACTTGCCAATGTGGGTTGGTGAAGGCGTGGAGCATTAATGTGGAACCATAAAAGTACAGTACAGTACTGTTTTCCAGTGGATGTTGCTGCATTGCCTTTTGCTGCCAGCAACTTAGCCTCGAATAAATATCCACGAGTATTTACAATGAACATTATATAGATACAACCGTAATGTCTGAGTGAATTGGTCCATCATCAGCTAAAAAGTTGTGTGCTTTACTATTTGTGAGAGAGATAAAAGGCCATATTGGAAAAGATATACCCATTCAGTATGTGTGTATATATGGAGTGGCACCCAGATGTCAGTCACCAAGATAAAGACCTCCAGCCAGATGAAGGGATAATGTAAGAACAGAACTTGGAGGTCAGGTGTCAACGTTACAATTGCTCCGTGGTCTAGCAGCAGAAAGAGGTGAGGTGTTGAACGTATTTTTATTTTTTACTTCTTTTGCACCGTACATAGCCAACTGTGTTAAACTGCTGTAGCATCAACAGCAATGTCTAATTTTTACTTTGCCCAGAAAAGTATAGAATTCTCCAGACGTTTTCAAGCGTGGTCTGCTTGAGATATTTAGCCAATGCATGTTGTAATTTTCCATATGTGAGGAAACTCGACGGCGGTGTTTTGGTGTACATCTATATCTCAAACTCTGCCAGACGCTGTAGCTGCCACAGTTTTAGTGAACGTGACATCTGTTGAGCACAAAAGCGCCCGTGACCAATGCTCTGTGCCGCGATTATTAATGCACAAGGGGCGGCTGACGGGGGGAGTTGAGAGTCCCTTGAATTGCAGGTTTATTGCTGTCGAGCTGGCGCTACTGCCAAAGCCACTTTCAGTCTTGTAGAGGACAGAGAAAAAAGCAATTGGTCACAGGCATCAGTCTGACTCTTGCATTGTTACTTTAGACTTTCGAGACTGTATAAGCGGGGAGATATTCACGCACGTTACTAAGAAACCATCAATAGCATCTATTAGCTGAAAATCCACAGCCAGATAACACTCAATGAGATCAGCACACATTAGGATGCATATGCACACAAGTACAACACTTTTCCAATGTATTGACACATGACTCTTTCTGGTACCAAAGACCCCCTATGTGCATCCCAAATCAAGGACAAAGTCACCCTTCAAGGTCCTTCTGGACTCCCACCTGCCTATCTCTCCTTTATCATATGGCTCTGCTCGCCTCTTATGTGCTTTCATCTCAAACTTACCCAAGGGCCTTCTATCGAGACCCCAAGGCAACCTTCTCTCATTGGCAGGTCACTCTTTCTCTGCTGTGTCCGCAACTCCCTCCCACTGATTATGTTATTCACACCACTGAGAAAATTGTCCCGGTGCAATCTGGATTTAAGACTTTTTAATCTTCTGTCTCCCTACGAGCAGTCTTAATTTGTTAATGTACCATAATGCCACCCTTACCTTCTGTGCCTTGTAGTCTGTTAACGCCTCCACTACTCTCTGAAATAACCCCCCATCAAAGCCTCCCTTGCCAATGTGGCACCGTATAGTCAAACAACCTCCAGCGGTGGATGGATAAAGGGTCATACATTGTTTAGTCATTTATTTTTCGGACAATACAGGTGACAGAGTATCAGCCAGTGGAAGGATAATGCCTCAGAGAACAACCGCTGAGGAGATGGAGTGATGAGAATAGCTCATGCGCGAGACCGAGATAGTTTTTGGGATTTACAAGATTGTGGCATTGCGTGGTGACGGCGTGGGTAGGCATTCATCCAGCAGTGGAGAGAACAAGACTGCTTGTTATTTCGTGGCTGCTGTTGAATTATGGAGCCCCGAATAGTTGTCACGTTTATCACGTGGTTTATTTTTAATCACTTTGCTGTACAGAAATTGTCGTGAATACTTCCGCATGAGGGTCTTGAGTTTCAGGTGGTTGACTAAAAATAAACATTTCTTACTCAAAACAGTGGTCTCATGTTGTTGTTTTTTTACCTCGTATTTTACAATAGAGAGTGCGCTTTGGTAATTCCCCTGCCCTACCTGTATAGCATTTGATATTCCGACTCAGGGTTGGGGGTTTTCTCTAAAGGCACCAAATGTGTGTATGATTGATACGCCGAACTGACAATGTGTGACCCAGTACCCTTTGTAACATTACAGCGCACATAACAATCGTGTTCGTGTAAACGTTATTTTTTGGTACTGTGCTGAAATCCATATGGGGTTTGAAGTGATATGTCCAGGGGCATTTCATAACAGTTTTTCAGTGGAAACAGTTTCATACACTTATCTAGAACCCATTTCAATACTGCAATATAGGGCCCATTCGGCCTTCGTAGCTTGTAATCTTCTAGTTTGTTATGTACTTCAGTTTAAAAGCCACCAGTCTAATCTTGATTTTAAGCTTTCGTGACTGCAGGAATCCATACTCTTTGGTTCTTTCGGTGAAGTCACGTAGGTAGAAAAACAAAATAAAAATATATCACGACGTTTCGATCACAACACAAGCAGTCGTCCTCAGGTGGAAAAAATAATCCAGGAGTGGAACTGCTGAAACAGTGAGAGCTTTTACGACAAGTTGTAACAGTCACGTAAGTTTTAACAGCTCTCTCGCTGGTTCAGCAGTTCCACTTAGGCCTCGGCAAGGTAAGGTAATTTACCCTTTTTACCGGGTAAAAGGGTTAAGGTAAAGGGTAAAGATGTCGACATGCCAAGGGGTAAAGTAGCTCGGAAGAATGACCCGGTAGGGTAAAGGTAGCGCAAAGTATTACCAGGTAAATACGGTACCTTGTTTACCGCTAAAAGCTCCGTGGGGCAGTCCGTGACCTCCATTTAATAAGTAATATTAAAAAAAAAATTTAAACGTGCTTTTATGTAATGTGCTAGTAATGGCAGAACTCCACGACTTCAGAAGTGGCCCCGAAGCTTGCCATAACGTAAGGGACCGTGGCCGATTATAGCCAACGTCAGTTGACCGTGGACAATTAGACAAGCCGAAACATAACATATAGAAAAGAATGTTAAAACATTTTTTATGATATAATATAGTATTGTCATCAGTATGACATAAGTATACCAAGTTTGCAGTCGATACGACATTGGGAAGTGGGTTAAAATTGAGTTACAAGATTTGAGGATACGACAACAACAACAAAAATTACAACAACAAGTGTGTAAAGTTGGAATCATCGAGAGTATTCTATATGAATAAAGCGCTCTACCTAACATTTACCTGTTATAAACCTTTTTCATGTGGAGTACCCCAGTAATTACCCTGTAATCGGGTAATTTCTATGGGGTAAGGGTAAAAGGTAGGGTAAAGGTAGGCTCGTTGTTTTTACCTTACCTGCTAAAGGGTAAAAGGTAGGGTAGGGTGATTGTATTGTGGAAAGGTAAAAGGTAGGGTAAAGGTAGGCTCATTTTTACCTTTTACCTTACATTGCCGAGGCCAAGTTCCACTGCTGGATATTTTTTTCCGCCCGAGGACGACCGCTTGTGTTGCGATCGAAACGTCGTGATATATTATTTTTATTTTGTTTAATGTTTCTACCTACGTGACTTTACCGAAAGAACCAAAGAGTAAAAGCCACCAGTCTATATAAACATTGAGTGTAATTAAACACTCAGAATGTAGGCTAATAAGTTATTCATGGAAAGTGCCAATGAGTGGAAATTTTGCGACCTGTACAATACACGCACGAGTCGGCGTATGTATTTACTGTACCGTATTCATTTTCAAAGTTGGCCTCTTTATTAAGTTGATTGGTTTATTTTGGGTCAGGCCATTTTTTTACAGGACCTAACCCACAATTAATTAATTATGAATCATAATATTGGTCCCGACCGCCAACGTATACAATTCATCTCGATTAAGTATATATGGTCAAATTGAAACCCCATGATTCGCGTGATGAGGCCCTCATCCAGCAGTGGATTGACAAAAAATGGGCTGGGTAATAATCAAGCCACGATACGTTTGCCACAAAATTCAAAAAATGTATCAATTGACCGGAGGGTGAGCGGGTTTACTCGAGTGTGGCCAACGCATCTCTCGAGGAGCGCTCGAGTGGCTCCGAATATCCACGCGTCCTTCTTTGGCGGCTCCTCTGGCCCGTTTCGCTTCTTCTTGTCGGGCTCCGTCCACCGTCTTGATCCATCCCTTCGGGTTGTCCGTCGCATGAACATGCAACAAGAGCGAACGATGTGAATGACAATCGGTGCCGTTGCCCACCACCGGGTTATCAGATTCAATGCTCCTTTATTTTCAGCCGGGCATATTGCGCCGCGCTGCAAACGCGACCGAATGCCACCACGCCGGCCGCACCACGCCGTGCCATTCATTAGCGAGCCGCCGCCGCCGCCACGTGATTCCGCATCAAAGCGTGAAACCCGACCCCCCCCCGTGCACACCATTAACATTTCAACAACAAAAAAGACGCCGCTTCTACCTAATTGGCGTGAGTGGGCGCCGCCGACAATTTTCTTTCAAGTGTTTTATTTACATTTACATTGGCCGCTACGATGTCTACTCGTAAGCTACACCACCTAACGGGCCCCAGCAAGCGACGCAAATGTGATCCTGGTCAGTACTTCGATGGGCGGGTGACCAACAGGATTTGCTCGGTGTTGTCATGCCTGGGAGTGCGAGATCCGCCTGGTTCTAATTCTCGCGTATGATGGCAGCCATATGTTCTGGAGCTCGGTGCCAATGTCGAGGTGTGATCGCCACGAGAGGGCTTCGGGAGAGCGTTCATGATATTCTTAGGTTTTTTCGGTAAAGTCACGTAGGTAAAAAATTAATAAAAGTAAAATAAAAAAATAAAAATAAATCACGACATTTCGGAGGCAACACAAGCTTCCGTCTTCAGGTGGAACCGTCACAGCCACGACAGCTGTATCACGGTTCCACCTGAAGACGGAAGCTTGTGTTGCCTCCGAAACGTCGTGATTTTTATTTTTTTATTTTATTTTACTTTTATCAATTTTTACTTTTTTACCTACGTGACTTTACCGAAAAAACCTAAGAATATGAATCCTTTCAGTCACGAAAGCTTCAATCTATCGTTCATGATGTTGTAGCTCTGCCTATGTTGAAGAAGCCCAGACTACCATGGGTTTACTGTCAGAACTGCGAGGTGTGGCCAGCAGATGGCAGTGTCGAGTGCTGCTCCCCCTCTGATATCCGTGCTGGGTTTTCTCACATTTCCTCCCACGCGAGGTCTTGTTAAAATACTGGATTCAGCACCACCAATACTGCAAGTCAAAAACTTCTCTTTCAGCATCTTCCGTGGCAATTCAAGAAAGATGTTAACTTATTTATTACAACTTCGATGGCGCCGTTTGTTGCTGACTGCTTGGCGTTTTTAGGCCTGTCGCTCAATCGCTATTTTTTGTTTAATAAACACTCAAAAGGGATTGGCCAAAAATCCCAAATGCAGGACCCCCAATTAAATATTTAGACTGGGAGGCTTTTAGATGGAGATAAATAACATTATTATTTACGACCAGCCCTTTGATCAACCCCCTTCTACATGAGAACCTATCCATAACACTTTACCACGCTGGTCAGCGCGAGTTGGTGGGCGGTGAGTATTGTGGTGCGAGCATAGAAGTATAATGCAACGATTAAGTACAGTTGCAACAACGTAGCCCCACAACGGAATTGTAAAATTCCGCGGGATTAGGTCATAGGCATTGTTAATACTGCATGCCCGTATTTTTAAATACCGCATTTCCAAGTTGGTTAGCTGGCTGCTTGTTTGATTCCTGGAAAACGGGAAAGCGTGGGGGATGATGATGCTGGTGACCCATGCAATAGTAGTGTTAATAATCCCAGGAAAGCATCACACGATATAGGCTGTAGGGGGAGAATGGAAAAGTGTTGCGCGAGCATACGGGATGTGGCAGAGGCATTAGTAAGCGCTGTGGACGTTATCGTTGGCAACCATGCAAGTAGTGTATTTCACACGTGCATTTTGTGAGTGTAAATGTTGCGGTGCGCTCCACGCACGGGCGCAGTATACGCTGCGAGATTATTTCTCCGGCTGATTTTTATCAGAGAGTTGGGTTTAAATTTAACATACTGTACATATACGGATGATGTATTTAATTGATTGCATAAGACTCCTGAGTTACGTAGTTTATGGGGAGTATAAGCGCTTCGTCCGTACCGTGTGTTGTGTAATGGTTCGCGCACTCGACTTGCGATCCAGAGGTTGCCGGTTCCATCTCCCAGCGCGCCAGTTTAAATGCCCCCCACCAACTGCATTCAAACAGCAGTATGCATGGGTACACCACAGTCGATCGATAGGTCGTGATTGGGCACTCCCCGCTCTTCCAAGATGTTTGGTCAGTCTGGAAGAGTAGGCCAAAACGCCCTCTCTGGGCTCTCTACATGTGCATAATTTGAACTTATTTCACACTGTACGTAGCCAGCCGTGTTAATCGGAGGTGCTGGGGATGGCAACAAATTTCCACCAGCGGTGACGTGCGTACGTAATTGTATGGCTGGGCTCTTTACATTTTTAATATAATGCACGCATCATATAAGTGCGAGTCCTGTGACATCTTACTCCCACAATTGTAACTGCCTCTACATACTTATTGGTCACGCACACCAGATTATAATCTCCTGTACATTGTGTTGTTTAACACATCAATGGATATGTTATCATTCACATATTTTAAATTATCTATTGTAGTTCACACCACTTTGCCATCCCTCTGCTTGGCGAAAGCCTCCCAACGCCGTGTCGAGCGTGGGTGGTGATTGACCATACTTTACCACGCTGGTCAGTGCGGGTTGGTTGTAAACAGAAAGGAGAGCCCAGGACCGTTGCAGATATCAATCACCACTGATGTTAGCCGTGCTCCGGTTATATAAGCATCTAAATTCGACGAACATTTCACGGTGCCTTGTATGGTGCAGAACCCAATTTTGACGACA